ATAAAAGTTTAAATTACATAAAATAAAAAATAATATATTTTTTAAAAAGTGCACGTTATTAGTACGATTGTATGTAGAGGTATTTATAACAAAAATTTCTAACAAGATAGTGTTGTAATGACAAAACATGTACAAAACATCAAGAGATTTTTAAATCATACATGTTTAAAAATGTATTATAATATAATTACATCAATAACAATTAACTATAAAAATGTATATATGTCTTATATCTGCAATTCTAATTTATACAAAAAAAAATCTCACCATGATTACGGCTAGATCGGCTACCCAAGAGCTGTCAGCTCCATATACATAATCAGGGTGACATTTGACACTCTTGACAGTATGGATTTCACCCTTTTTGTAATCAACGCTTCCAATGAGTACGTTAAGTTCTTCAGAGGGTTCGTCTATCAAATTGCATATACAATGCGCCGCACTCAACACGTATCTGTCATTAATAAGCACACCGCTGCAGATGTGCACATCGTAGTATCTTAAGGATACCTGATAAGGAAATTCAGATTCGGAAGCGACTACTCCACCGATCAAACGTCGTACGCGAAGTGCTCCTCCTCCTAATTTGGGAAATAATGCACATATTTGTCATGATGTACTTCAAAGGTATGTAAAAGATTATTTACCTTTGTTTCTAATTTTTTTATACTACTATAGCAAAAATAAATAATAAAAATACGAGCATATTTTTTTCCGCAGATTGATATTAAATTCATGTTCTCACTTACCGTAGCTGATAATGCCCAATATTAAAATAATTAATAAACACAGAGCGGTGGAGTTCATTATTTTTTAGATGCTGCGAAAGGACAAAAAAATATTATGCTAAGAGTAATTTTTGCACAATTTTTATATTTTATATGATTCTCAGCTTTTTAATTCGCATTTGATTTCTGAAGCTAGTTTCATACGCAATCAATGCAATTAATAAATAACTATACATATACGTGTTGTTTTAATGTCGATATAAAATATACTTCTAATACATATACATATATTTTAGATTAATATATATGTTAATATATTTAAAATACATTAATATAATGTATTCAATTTTATTAATTTAGTGTATTCAATTTTATTAATTTTTTTATTATCATTTTATTAATTTTATTAATTTTTCTATTATCAATTTTTAATTACGCTAAAAATAAATTCATTTCGAATGCATAAAAGTATTTATTTTTTTCTTTCATTGTCGAAATTATGAATGTAATCCTGTGTATTATAAATAGAATTCCCCCTTATGAATCATTACCGTGTGCGTGTTTCAGTTTCATCATAAACAACCGTAGTAACATGCTTATTCAGCTAGCAATCTGATGCATCAAACGACGATCTACAATTATGTTAATGTTCACTTAATGGATTTAGATAGAAGAAGATATTCATAGAAACACTTGTTATCTAATTCATTAAAATACAAGTAGTTTAACTTATAAACGAGATAATATGTAGTGTAATAAAATATTAATGTTTTAAAATTTTAGTGTAATTTCAAAATCGTCAAAAAAATCGCGAAAATTTTCTTTAATCTTACATATAAATAAACATATTTTTAAAAGTGCAATTTGAATTATAGGCTATAAGACTGTACGAATAAGAATGTAAAAATTTATCACTCTATTAAGAGTTAAATGTTTACTTTCATTCATAAAAGTCCGAAAATCTTTATCAATGAGAAATGTGGTGTATCGGAAAAGGAAATATATTTATTTTAAGATACTTTTAAGATTTTTTTAATAAATATCACACTTTATTATATTTTTCTGTAATTCATAGTTAGATACTTCGTCATAACTAAAGTTATAGTTGAAAGATATTAAATAAAAATAGAAATAGAATAATTAAAAGATGTAAAATAGTGAAGAAATTTTATTTTTTATATATATAAGAGATAAATATTATATGTGTGATATAGAAATGGCGAACATTTCTTAATTAGATGACACGATTACGACAAAAAGAAATCAATATTTGAAAATTTAAAGCACACAACATTATCACATATATAATGTATAATATAAATTAATCAATTATCTATCTATGCTTATGACATTTTTTTATATTTTGCGTGAAATATATAATATATTGCTTATATTTATATTATATAATCGATTACAAACATAATATAGAAATTTATTAAAACATGATAGAAAAAGTATCACATTTTTATCCATTCATTAAATGTTTTCATTCATTAAATGTATTCATTCATAAATTCAATATTCAAAATACAAGAGTCAGAAATACAATACATTATTGATAATAAAAAGGAGAGAACAAAATTGAGAAACAAATTTCTAATTTCAAAATCGACTGATAATGAGATAAATCTTCAAAAATTCTATTTCGTTCATTCATTCCCCGAGAAGTTTCCGCGACAAAAAAAGTTTGAATTTGCGCGCAATTTCTCTCATTTTCAAACATTTTTAAAATACTCGTAACATTTTTAAAAAATGTAACTTGATGTATCTGTCATTCTTACCTGACTGCAATGTCAATATTCAACTGAGTCTTTGGCACCTCCTTAGTCCAGCTCCGTCCTCTTGCGTATAAGTCGAGACGATGACGAATCTCCAAAGATATCTGCTTTATATATACCTGGGGTCTGTTCTTTTCAGCTGCACTGCTGCACTAGTGCAATAAGTTAGAAAGAGACAAACATACTTTCTGTCACTCTAATCGCATAAGTGCAGCAGTGCAGCTGAAAAAAACAGACCTGCTTTTCATATGAGAGACACAGAGAACGAGAGAGAAAGAGAGCGAGAGAGAATGCACTTAAAGAGCAAATAAAATATTATAAGTTTATGACTGAAATATGCAAGATTCTTATGAAAAAGAGATATTTAAGATTTTATTACTTCTTATAAATTTTAATTTCTTTGCATTAGTGTCATTTGTGATTCATTATAACTGCAAAGCGCACATACACACACACACATATAAGTAATATAACGTTACGTAGCAACAATTAATAATGATAGTGAAAGCAATCCGTGTTTGATATTTCTCTAACAGAAATTTCTAACACTTTATAGAATAATAACGTGACCCAATTTATTCTAGTTATATTTGTTCTATAAAATATAATCAGAATGATCTCAAACAAAAGAATCAAATAAGAAAAAGTTGATTCCGAATCAATCAGAGAATATATACGAAATTCGACGAATCACTGCGTAAATTGTGGAAATAAATTAACTTATAGCAAAAATGTCTGTTAAAAATATATCACTAAACGAGTTTTTTTATAGACTGGCGATAAGGAGAAAAAGATATGCGAAACGGGAAACAACGGTTGAGTTCAAACAATTGACCCTTAGAATCCTGACACGGTTGCTAGAGTGTGAGTTATTATTCGTCAAAACGAAGAGAGCGTTTTGAGAACGGTTAAACACCGCCTGCGATAACTTCTTTTCTCGATCTCAGTTAATAAAAATATCAGCCGGTTACATGTCGGTTCTACTAGCTGTGCAAAGTTAAAAGAAATAGTAAATAAAAAATATAAATAATTGAAAGAAAATAATTAAAATAATTGAAATAAATAATTGAAAATAATTGAAATAATTGAAATAAATTAAAGAATAATTTCTGTATTTATAACTGAAACTATATAGTTGAAGAGACAGGAATGATAAAGAGAGAGAAAGAAGAAGAAGAAGATTGTCAAAAAGAATATATAATCATTTTAAGTATATATAATATTGTACTAATAAATAAGAAAAATTAACACACACACACACATTTTTTCGGTGCAAATAAAAACTCAAAATAAAGTAAAAATTATTATATGCACTAATATCTTTTTATCTGTATAAAATTAATAAATATTTTTACGTTCATATTACATGGAAGTTAAACTACATATTGTGTTATTTATGATATTATAACATTATATGTATGTTCATATATACATTGTGCATATAAATAATTTATTTTAATATATATTGAATCATAATATAAATAAAGAATTGTTTATGAAATCAGATTTTTACTATTTTTTAATATGTATCACATTTCCTCAATATTACAATATCAATGTTGAAATATTAGTAAAACAATATTTATTTGTTCTTAATTTAATTGTTAAAAAACTAAATTAGCACTTATAATTAATGAGCGCTAGTGCGTATTAATGCATTTAATCAAATTATATATATAATCCTCCTTTCCTTCGATTTGCTTGTTCTTAAGCTTAATTATTCAGATTTACGATATATCATTTTTAACATATTCTAACTACACGGATCTAGTTTATTACGGCTTTCTGTTTCTTTACATTGAGCATTTTATATTTGCAGTTGTATAACATATTTCCATGATTACACCTGTATCTCTGTTTTATATGATAGATCTGATAAAATCATATTTTTTCCTGAAAAAATAATATATTAATTTCTAAGTAATATGATCTGTCACATACACATTTTACGTTCCTATCTGAAGAATGAATAAAGTCTTTCAAAATGTTTATAATACGTACATTTTAAGTTTAATATACTTAAATGTAATCCGAAAACGGATATTATAAAAGTAAATATTATATTATATTATTTAATTTTTTTCCAAAAATATAAAATTTTAGTTATTTTTCTAGAAAAAGGAAAAAATAAGATACGAATTGAAAACATGGAAATGTAATATAAAAAAAATATTTATATATGTGTGAATTCTAAAAAAAGCATAAAATATCAAATACGAGAATATTTCGATCTTTTTCCAGATCTGTTTCAATTTGAAAAATATGCAAAAATTAATGTAATTTCTCTCATTTTAATTATTGATACAAAATTATTGCCAATTTTAAAGTTTAAAGTATTTTAGAAATAAATAAATATTTGATGTATTAAATGTGAAATAATAATAATGAAATTTTTCGTAAGATAAATTATATAATATTAAAAAATAACTATTATTATCTCATTAAATACAAAAAGATAAGAACAGAAGAAATATCGGAAATAGATAGGAGTAAATCATTGCATATCATTTATTTTTGATCCATATTTTAAGAGGTAGGATTAATATACTTATTTATCGAAATAACCTAGACCTTCATATTTCTTGATAGAAAGTTGAAAGAACTACGAGCCTAAAATATACAATAAAATTATGATTATATATATATTTAATTTACATAGAGATACATTTATTAAAAACATCGAAGAAACAGTTAAAGTTATTGAACACAGAATGTCAAATGATAATTATATTGACAAATATTTAATTGTAAAAAATTTAAAATACTTTTAATACATATTTTTGCAAAAACTTTTTGACTCGAGTATCATAAACTGCGATTGTTATAAGTATAAACATTGATGAATAAAATATTTCAATAAAATTTAATATATAATCAGAAAATTTAATATCAAGAATTTTCTTAAAAATCGAGCAAAAGTTGCACAATCCTTCTCTAAATACTTTACTGGTTTAATATATACCTAAAATGTGTATCCTTGTCTCATATCATTTCTACCACCGTTTTCAGGATTCATTGTTCTGGTTTTTCTCTGTTACGATTAGATTGACCTCTATCCATACTTCTAGTCAGTAGAGATAAAATCGGTAAACCTATGAATTATGTAATTAAAAAATTATTCATAAATTAAAAATTCATTATATTAAAATATTTAACTTATATAATCAGATGGAATTTACAAGAGACATAACACAAAAAAGTTAAAATTTGATAAATCAAAAAAAGAAAAATTTAATCGACTTTGTTCCGTTCTTACCATTATTTCCACTACTATGGGGTTCATTGTTCTGATTTTCTCTGTCATTAAGTCTCTTCAGTATATTTCTAGTCAGTGTAGACAAAATCGGTAAATCTATAAATTATATAATTAAAAAACTATTCATAAATTTAAAATTCGTCATATTAAAATATCCAACTTATGAAATTCACAATATAAACATAAGCGACAGAACACAGAAAAATTAAAATTTAATAACTTATCAAAAAAAAATTGAAATGAATCGTTTCATATCGGTCCTCACCACCATTTTCACTACTATGGGATGTATTGTTCTGATTTTGTCGACCTTCATCCAGTATATCTCCAGGTAGTGTAGGCAAAATCGGTAAATCTATGAATTATATAATTAAAAAACTATTCATAAATTTAAAATTCGTTATATTAAAATATCTAACTTATGGAATTTACAATATAAACACAAACGACATAACAAAGAAAAGTTAAAAGTTAATATAACATGTTACAAAGAGAAAAATTGAATCGACAGTTTTAGGTGATTCTATCTAGCTATTAATGCATATGTCAGACATTTTGAAATATGAAATAAAACAGAAATACAACATATGATTGTAATTTATACTTATAGTGATATTTTGGACAAACACCCGCAATTTATCAAAAGCACAAATTTTATCATTTAACAAATCGTGCAAAACCGTAAAATGAAGAAATGTCACAATGTCAATACAAGTAACAATAAATATAATAAACAAGACTTACCAAGTTGTGCGTTACATAGTTGAAGTAGTAATATTAATATGACTGAAATTAAAAACATAATCTTCATGATGATTTTACTTTCAATCGACTCACGATAAACCTTAACAAAAACTAATCCCATGCGCATCTAACACACATCTTTTATATATTTCTTAATGACCTATAATTACTTCTGTATTATAAGTTATTTGCGAATAATAACTCACTCTTTTTATAACCGGTGGACGATACATTGATCATACATATACTTTCGGAATTTTGATTTACAAATATCACTGCTATAGTATTTATGCTATAAAATTATTCTCTATTTTGTATTAATCAAATAATATATTCAATTGAAATATATTTCACTTAAAACAAAATTGATATCCTAATAAAATAATGCAAATTAATATTTCTTTTTAACGGATCATCCTATAGAATTACGGAATATTACAAATCAACGTGTATGTCAATTATCAATCACATAATTACGGGCAATTAGCGTTTGCGTAAACAATAATTCACACAATTCTACGAAGTCTACTTATTCTTCGTTGATTGAATAAAATACAATGAAATGTACAAATAGACAATGTATATAACGAAAAAAATTTTTTTATCCATCATAGTATATCGCGACAAAAACGTAAGTTTTTTTCTTAACATCTTTTTTTTACTTATAATATTATAACATTATATGTATGTTCATATATATATTGTGCATATAAATAATTTATTTTAATATATATATTGAATCATAATATAAATAAAGAATTGTTTATGAAATCAGATTTTTATTATTTTTTAATATGTATCATATTTTTCCTCTATATTACAATATCAATATTGAAATATTAGTAGTAAAACAATATTTATTTGTCCTTAATTTAATTGTTAGAAAAATTGATTAGCACTTACAATTAATGAGCGCTAGTGTGCCTTAATGCATCTAACCAAATTATATATAATCCTGCTTTTCTCCGATTTGCTATTCTTAAGCTTAATTGTTCAGATTTATAATATATCATGAAGTAAGAATTCGCTCAGGAGGAAAATTAAGAAAGTTGTCAGTTTTCTCAAGAAAAAAGAAGTAAATTCTTACTCGATGGCATGATTATAGTAATATGAGAAAATATATAACTATACATATATATAGAATGATTCTCTGTAGAGTATCATAAAGCAACTTTATGAACAATGCATTACTTCATAGAAAAAAATATACAATCTATAAGCGTTTACATAATATTGTTTATATCATAAAACTTTCATATACGTATCTCTGTAATGAAAAATAATAAAAATTGCAAAATAGATAGTCAATGTTACTTCTCCAGTTAGCAACAATATCATGTACTCGTTTATCAGTATTCCTAGAAATAAGATAATAAACTAATTATATATACAGATTATAATACATATTATATATATAGATTATAATATACATATATAATTTATATATTATATATATATATATATATATATATATATATATATATAATATAAATAGATTATACATTATAATAAGTATATAAATTAGATATTAGGCTAGAAAAGTAGAACACTAGAATATCACTAGGAGCACCACTAAATGAATGCGATATGATGTTATAGCATGTGTGAAAGCACATATTTTTACACACTATCCATGATCAACAGAGAAAACTGCTATTGTATTCTTGTAACATTCGACGCTGATTTCCTAAAAGTAGGAACCAATGTTCGATTGCTACTAAGTATACATTGCTTTTTCTTTGTTGAACATTCTGAATGTGAATAATCACTGATACAAATGAGATGAAATGAAATACTATTTCCGGATATGATGAAATAAATGATGACTAGAGTTTTATTTGGTTTTGCTGTTAAATATCACAAATCAGACCAAATTATTTTAAGTTATTGTCCATAGGTTATTGTCGATATTTTCTTGAGAAATATCAGACTATCTAAAGTATCAGTCTACGTTCTAGTCTTATACAGAAATTATATTAAATATGAGCGCTATCGAGAAATATTGATGATATTCATGATCCTTAATTAATTTTCGCAAAGATTTTACATAATTTTCTTGATGCGAATATTCAAGATATTAAGTCGATAAATCTCAGTACGCAAGATTATTTTAAATATAATTTTTTCAATTATTAATTTAAATGATCTTGCTACAAAAAATATAAGGTAATAGCCGCCAAGCGGTCGATATCCTAAACCAAAACATATCTCGTTTTGTTTCAATTTTAAAACATGAAAATACTTGAAAAAGTATGTTTTCCTCTGTCATAATGTCATAACACAAAACATATTTCGTACTTCTAATGCTTTATATTATCACAAGTATAATATCGATATCTATAAAGTGATAAAAATAGATTAAATATTTAGAAATTATAGATAGATAGCATTATTTATATTTTTTACGTAAATTCGTTACATATTTTTTAGATATCTTTTATACCTATAAAAAGGAATCTCTCTCTTAAAAATTATATCTTTGCTTTTTTTATATGAATAAAATACTGAAAATGTATATATATATACATATATATATAAACAAATTACTAATTAAACATTATTAATTATAAACATATACAATACGTATATATATGCACATAAAAAAAGATATTGGAAAATATTGTCGTTTGCATAAAAAACATTCTCGAAAATATTTATTATAATCAGTAAATTATATTTTATTACTTTACTTGATTACTCTGTATATTTACTATTGCTTCATTACTCTGATCAAGGTCACGCATCGCTTGTGTAATAAAATCCGTAAAATAGCTGATTCTAATAAAAACATCAGGGAAACCGATTGCACATGGTGTCGCCCATGATAATATGCCTATTAATTTATTATTGTATACTAATGGACCACCACTGTCACCCTGCGAATAATGCAAATAATATTTTCTTTTAGTTACGAAGAAAACTAATATCATTTAATAACAAAGAAGATTTAATAACAAAGAAGTTTTTACTTAAAAATTCATTCATAAAAATTGCAAAGCATGAAACTTCTAGAAGATTTACGCGAAAAATTACGAAAAAACATTATTCTACAATAGTATTCCACAATACAAATATAATTCTATAATATCTTAAATTTTTCAGATGTCACTTGATTGAGATTTGTAAATTCGTGAACAATAGTAATGACATTTTTATATATGGATTTTTCGATACAATAAAATGAAAAATAAAAAACCTTAAATATGATAAATAATGTCAAAATTTAATAATGTTAATATTATTTAGATAAAATATTATTATAAAAAGAATCAAGTTTCCTGTATCCAGAAAAAACCAACTTTTAAAACAAAGTTACAATAGTTTTAACAAAAATAATTTCTTCACATTTACCTCACAGACGCCAACATTTTTCCTTTCCAATGTACAAATTTGCGAGCTAAGAATAAAAATGTTTTTTATTTTTTTTTTTTTGTAATACTTTTGACACGCTTTATTGTCGATAATTGACACCGAAAGCTTTCGCAAGTATTGTGACGGCAACGAACTTGATAGGTGAGTTTTGCCCCACCCACTAATAACGGCACGTTCTCCAATGATTGTGTTGTAAGTTGCCAAGGAAATTGGTTTAACGTGAGATGATAGGTGAACTTTCTCAGTAAGCTATGGAAGCATAAATATATCTATAATATTGCAAGTATATACAAAAAACACCATGTTAAAATTAAATTAATCGATCATAAAAAAGAGAATCATTAAAAAGGAACAAATATTTTTACTAAAACATTCATGTCATCTTATAAACACAATTTGTTTCTGATAAGAATTATCAATCTACCATTCTACATCCTACTATTTGTTAATGATAGTTTTAACTGTAATGTTACAATTATAATAATATGTAAAATAACTACTTATTATATGCTCAATTTGTTAAATATATCTACTTATTGGATATTTTACTTTATTATTCGCGTTAAATATTGTTTAAAACATTGTTATAATAACAGTGTTTCTCAATAAAATAATATGTCGGCAAATATACGTATATAAAATTTTTAACATAACTCAATCACGAAATTTTGAGATATATTACTGTAACCTATTGAAAAATAATAAAAATTATGTATAATTAGAAAAAAAATTTGTAAAAGAAATGCATATTAGAAATGCAGATTAGCAAATTAGGATGGTCGCATTGAAAATTATTAGTAATAATTATCGTTATTAAATTTTATTAAAATTCAAAAAATAAATTATAAAATGTTCTAAATGATAAAATAAATGATCAACGATTCCCAGTTTTTTTCTCATTGTTAATTAATTTTTATAGATATTTATCCCTAAATAAATAATTTGATAATATAAAATCTGCACATAATTTTAAATTGTTACATAATATTATTACATCAAAAAATAAAGAATAATTTGATTGCAAGTTATAAAAGTTTAAATTACATAAAATAAAAAATAATATATTTTTTAAAAAGTGCACGTTATACGATTGTATGTAGAGATTGTATGTATTTATAACAAAAATTTCTAACTAGTGTTGTAATGATGTACAAAACATCAAGAGATTTTTAAATCAAACATGTTTAAAAATGTATTATAATATAATTACATCAATAACAATTAACTATAAAAATGTATATATGTCTTATATCTGCAATTCTAATTTATACAAAAAAAAATCTCACCATGATTACAACTAGATCGGCTACCCAAGATCTTTTATCTCCATATACATAATCAGGGTGACATTTGACACTCTTGACAGTATAGATTTCACCCTTTCTGTAATCAACACTTCCAATGAGTACGTTAAGTTCTTCAGAGGGTTCCTTTATCACATCGCATACACAATGCGCCGCACTCAACACGTAACTGTCACTAATAAGCACACCGCTGCAGATGTGCGTATTGTTGGGGTAGTTTAAGGCTACCTGATAAGGAAATTCAGATTTGGAAGCGACTGCTCCACCGATCAAACGTCGTACGCGAAGTGCTCCTCCTCCTAATTTGGGAAATGATGCACATATTTGTCATGATGTACTTCAAGGGTATGTAAAAGATTATTTAACTTTGTTTCTAATTTTTTATACTATAGCAAAAATAAATAATGAAAATACGAGCACATTTTTTTCTGCAGAATGATATTAAATTCATGTTCTCACTTACCGTAACTGATAATGCCCAATATTAAAATAATTAATAAACACAGAGCGGTGGAGTTTATCATTTTTTAGATGCTGCGAAAGAACAAAAAAATATTATGCTAAGAGTAATTTTTGCACAATTTTTATATTTTATATGATTCTCAGCTTTTTAATTCGCATTTGATTTCTGAAGCTAGTTTCATACGCAATCAATGCAATTAATAAATAACTATACATATACGTGTTGTTTTAATATCGATATAAAATATACTTCTAATATATATACATATATTTTAGATTAATATATATGTTAATATATTTAAAATACATTAATATAATGTATTCAATTTTATTAATTTAGTGTATTCAATTTTATTAATTTTTTTATTATCATTTTATTAATTTTATTAATTTTTCTATTATCAATTTTTAATTACGCTAAAAATAAATTCATTTCGAATGCATAAAAGTATTTATTTTTTTCTTTCATTGTCGAAATTATGAATATAATCCTGTGTATATTACAAATAGAATTTCCCCTTATGAATCATTACCGTGTGCGTATTTCAGTTTTATCATAAACAACCGTAGTAATGCTTATTCAGCTAGCAATCTGATGCATCAAACGACCTACAATTATGTTAATGTTCACTTAATGGAATTAGATAGAGGAAAATATTCACATTCATAGAAACACTTGTCATCTAGTACATTAAAATACAAGTAGTTTAACTTATAAACGAGATAATATGTAGTGTAATAAAATATTAATGTTTTAAAATTTTAGTGTAATTTCAAAATCGTTAAAAAAATCGCGAAAATTTTCTTTAATCTTACATATAAATAAACATATTTTTAAAGGTGCAATTTGAATTATAGGCTATAAGACTGTACGAATAAGATTGTAAAAATTTATCACTCTATTAAGAGTTAAATATTTACTTTTGATAAAAGTCCGAAAATCTTTATCAATGAGAAATGTGGTGTATCGGAAAAGGAAAAATATTTATTTTAAGATACTTTTAATATTTTTTAAATAAATATCACACTTTATTATATTTTTCTGTAATTCATAGTTAAATACTTCGTCATAACTGAAGTTATGACTAAAGTTATGACTACTATAGTTGAAAGATATTAAATAAAAATAGAAATAGAATAATTAAAAGATGTAAAATAGTGAAGAAATTTTATTTTTTATATATATAAGAGATAAATATTATGTATGTGATATAGAAATGGCGAACATTTCTTAATTAGATGACACGATTACGACAAAAAAAAATCAAAGAAAATTTGAAGCACACAACATTATCACACATATAATGTATAATATAAATTAATCAATTATCTATCTATGCTTATGACATTTTTTTATATTTTGCGTGAAATATATAATATATTGCCTATATTTATATTATATAATCGATTTCAAAAATAATATAGAAATTTATTAAAACATGATAGAAAAAGTATCACATTTTTATCCATTCATTAAATGTTTTCATTCATTAAATGTATTCATTCATAAATTCAATATTCAAAATACAAGAGTCAGAAATACAGTACATTATTGATAATAAAAAGAGAACAAAATTGAGAAACAAATTTCTGATTTCAAAATCGACTGATAATGAGATAAATCTTCAAAAATTCTATTTCGTTCATTGATTCCCCGAAAAGTTTCCGCGACAAAAAAAGTTTGAATTTGCGCGCAATTTCTCTCATTTTCAAACATTTTTAAAATACTCGTAACATTTTTTAAAAATGTAACTTGACGTATCTGTTAATCTTACCTGACAGGAATGTCAATATTCAACTGAGTATTTGGCACCTCTTTAGTCCAGCCTCGTCCTCTTGCGTATAAGTCGAGACGATGACAAATCTCCAAAGACACCTGCTTCATATACGAGAAACACTGAGAACGAGAGAGAAAGAGAGGGAGAGAAAATGCACTTATCCGATTGGTATAATTGTCACGCGCGTATATAAACGTAAACGTGCGCACAGCGCCCTTGTCGGCGATCCGTGTGCGTGCGCGCCGCGCGTGACGTATGACGTACCACATACATGCACACACACACACACCGCTCACACACATACGCGCGGCGCACGCACGCGCGCGCGGGCGCGCGTTTGTGCAACACATTATCCGTCGTATGTCGTATCTATCCGCCAACGCGTAGCGCATCTCGTTGTCGATTTTCATCGCTTGGCGCGTCCGCGAATCCCGCGTATTCCCGATACCCAGGAAGCGACGACTGGCCCGCGCGCGGGACCGAGAGATTTATATCGTCCACGACAGAGCGAGGCGCGTTGAACAGGTTGAAAGGAACGTCAGCACGCACAGGCCGCAACCTATATTTTTGTACCTCCATGAAAGGGCCATGTAACCTATGTCGTGAGTATCGACGAGCGATCGGCTCGTTCGGCCTCCGGACGCGGCAACAGGTTCCCGACTGTACGGGATACTTGGCTCCGGACCGGTTCCGAACGCATCCCGGACCGTCCGTTGCCGAGAGTCCCGGTCACGTCGCTCATCGAACCTGTTACCGCGTTTGAGGTTATGAGAGGATATGGTTTTTTTTTTTAATGAAATTTCTGGCTGCACCCATCGTGTACAACGCTTTTTCCTTGTCTCTTTTTGTCCGGGATTTGTTTTTTCTTTTTGGAATAACGTCCTGATCTCTTGCATAGTTTTGTGGTAATGTACGTAAGCGAATAAATTGATTTCACTTTCAGAGTGAAGTGTAACAAATGGAAGGTTTTAAGGTGAAAGATGAACCGATGGATGCATTAGCCATAGACAGTCAGGTTATGGTAAACCATTTGTATGAAACGGCAGCAGGTATATGACACACTGCTGGCGTTGTCCAGAGAGTCTAACGTAACGATTACTTTAAGGATGAGAACATTGTGAGCGTCGTGCTTAAGGAGGAACCAGGTGACAGATTTGATCCCGACTACATGGAGGATATTTGCTCTGGCACTTTCGAGAAGGGCACTTTATTCTTGCCTATCGAAAACAATGAGGTGGACTTCTCCAACGAAATGGTACATATATGATCTGATATATATATTAATCTATTCAAGAGTTACAGCTATACATTGTATACTGTTTTCAAAGAGATGTAGTTATCTGTTGCACATATCATATTATATATATGTACATTGTTATACTTTCTTCTAAATACTTTATAAACTCTTACAGGTAAAGTTAGAGTTGGAAGGAGAATCTACCAGCCATCAGAATTGGGCAGCACAGATAGCAAGTGCAAATTTATGCGACAAGGAGGATGGTGTGATGCAACGATGTTTGGCTAATACAAATTTTATACAAGCGCAGGATCCTGACAAGCATGGGTTCTGTCAAAACGGTCAACAAGCAAAATTTTATAAAATACAATGCTCAATTTGCAAGAAATGGTTTCTGAACAATGATTCCATGGTGACGCATCTGAGGATGCACTGTAGCGGAAATCAATGTGAGGTCTGTCAACAGAGTTTTTCTGACAACTCTAGCTTGCACGCTCACATGTTAACCCATGTTGGAATGAGTCCATTAGAGTGCCACATCTGCCAAAAAAGATTCGCATATAAGTGGAGCTTGAGAAGTCACATGCAATTACATGTATTGGACAAGCCATACGATTGCGACGCGTTGCAGCAGGCTTTCATGAAGCGAGCGGGCTTGAACGATCAAATAATAGATGAAAGATTCTTCGAATGCGATGTATGTCACATGACATTCAAGGAGAAGCTTAACTTAAATCGACATATGTCCAGTCACACGGGGGATAGACCCTACAAATGCGCGGTCTGCTTCGAGGCGTTTAAGGAGAAGGCGAAATTAAACATGCATTTGCCGCTTCACGCGGTGAACAAACAATTCAAATGTACGCTCTGTCACAGATCCTTCGCTCAGAAAACGGCGCTCAGCAATCATATGCTGGCTCACAGTGGCGAGAAGCCGCATGCGTGTAACATCTGCGAAAAAACGTATAAAAGAAAATCAGAATTAATTAGGCACACCATGGTACATACCGGCGAGAGACCGTACGAGTGTAAAGAGTGCTTAATGACCTTCCGCGAGAAAGCCAAATTAAATTCGCACATGCTCGTTCATACGGGCGAGAAGCCGCACGAGTGTCACATCTGCCACAAGGCGTGCGCGCGAAAGTCGGATTTGAACAGTCATATGCTGTTGCACACTGGCGGTCAGTACGATTGCAAGGTTTGCGACAAGATCTTCACGAGGAAGTCGGATCTGAACAGACACACCCTGATACACACCGGCGAAAAGCCGTTCGCGTGCAATATGTGCGACATGGCGTTCCGGGAGAAGACGAGATTGAATTCGCACATGCTCATACACACGGGCGATAAGCGACACGCGTGCCACATTTGCCAGAAAACGTTCAAGGAGAAGTCGTCGTTGAGGAAACACATGTTAAGTCACACCGGTGACAGACCGTACGAGTGCTACGTGTGTCACAAGGCCTTCACGCAGAAAACAACGTTGAACAGCCATATTATGGTCCATGCCGGGGAGAGACCCTTCGAATGTAGTACTTGTCAAAAAATATTCAAGGACAAAGCAGCATTGAAAAAGCATTTGTCGATGCACGTTAACGAGAAAACTCACGAATGTCTTATTTGTATGAAAAAGTTCGCTCATAAAGCAGCATTAAATAGTCACCTGTCCACGAATCACATATCCTAACTACACGGATCTAGTCTATTACGGCTTTCTGTTTCTTTACATTGAGCACCGTATGTTTGTAGTTGTATAGCATATTTCCATGATTACACCTGTATCTCTGTTTTATATGCCAATAGGTCTGATAAAATCGTATTTTTTCCTGTGTATGGAGAAATAATAAATTAATTTCTAAGTAATATGAAGAGTGTGTGTGTCACATACACATTTTACGCTCCTACCTGAAGGACCAATGAAATCTTTTAAAATGTTTGTAATATGTACATTTTTTATGTATTAAGTCCGAGATTTGATATTATAAAAGTAAATATTTAATTTTTTTTCAAAAATATAAAATTTTAGTTATTTTTCTAGAAAAGGGAAAAAAAATACGAATTGAATGCGTAGATGGAAACATAATACGAAAAAGATATACATGAACTCTAAAAAAAGGCAGAAGCATTAAATACGAGAATATTTCCTTTTCTAGCTCTTTCAATTTGAAATCTACCAAAATTTAATTTTCTTTTGATTTATATTATTATAATATATAAAATTAATTATCAATTTTAAAATTTAGAGTACTTTAAAAATAAAAAAATATTCGATGTTAAAGCATGTAAAATAATAATAATAAATTAAATATTTTGTAAGAAATTGTATTATAACATATATTTCAAAAAATTATTGTCTCGCTAAATTGAAAAAGAAATAAGGATATAAAAAATATCAGAGATAAAGTAAATCATTGCATATTCTTTATTTTTGATCAATTTTTTAAGAGATAAGATAATATTTGTTGGAATAACTTGGACCTTGGACTTTCATATTTCCTGAGAGTTGAGAGAACTAGCCTGAAATAATATTGTATATAATAAAATTATGATTATATACATATATATATATATATAAAATCATTTACACAGAGATATATTTATTAAAGTAGAAATAGCGAAGGAGCAATTAAAGTTTTTAAGTATAGAATTATCAGATGATGATTACATTGATAGTTAATTGTAAAGTTAATTGTAAAAAATTTGCCAATTTTTATATATTCTTGCAAACATTTTTTGATTCAAATATCAAACTGCGATTGTTATAAGTGAACGTTGATGAATAAAATATTTCTCTGACCAAACATTTCGATAAAATTTAATTATAATCAGACAATTTAATATCATTTTTTTCTTAAAAAATCTTATTAATAGCAAAAATTGCACAAATAAATCTTTCTCTAAATTTAATACATACCAAAATTTGGATAGTCTGCTTGGATCACGCTAGGACGCATATTTCCATTGTATGGACGATTGTTTCCATTATTGCCATTATTGTACGGATATAAGCTGCTACCAAATTGATTTGTAGGCATCTGTGGTGACATATCTATAAATTATATAATTAAAAAATAATCCATAAATTTAAAATTCGTTATATTAAACTATTCAACTTATAGAATTTACAATATAAACACAAGCGATATAACATAGGAAAGTTAAAATTTGAGCATATCAAAAAGAAAAATCACAGTCTTAGACGATTATATCTGACTGCTAATGCATATGTCGGACATCTTGAAATATGAAATAAAATAGAAATACAATATACGATTGTAACTTATACCTACGATGATATTTTTCGGACAACCGCAATTTATCAAAGGCACAAATTTTATCATTAAACAAATCGTGCGAAATCGTAAAATGAAGAAATGTCACAATACCATTACAAGTAACAATAAATAAGACTTACAAGGACGAGGTTGCGCGTTACACAGTTGAAGTAGTAATATTAATATGACTGAAATTAAAAACGTAATTTTCATGATGGTTATACTTCCAACAGACTCACGATAAACCTTAACAAAAACGACTAATCCTATGCGCATCTAACACACATCTTTTATATTTTTCTTAATGACCTATAATTACTTCTGTATTATAAGTTATTTGCGAATAATAACTCATTCTTTTTATAACCGGTGGATACATTGATCATACATATACTTTCGAAATTTTGATTTACGAATATCACTGCTATACTATTTATGCTATAAAATTATTCTCTATTTTATATTAATCAAATAATATATTCAATTGGAATATATTTCACTTAAAACAAAATTGATATCCTAAAAAGTAGTGCAAATTAATATTTCTTTTTAACGTGTCATCCTATAGAGTTATGGAATGTTACAAATCAATGTGTATAATCAATTATCGATCATATAACGGGCAATTAACGTTTGCGTAAACAATAATTCACATGATTCTGCGAAATCTATTTATTCTTCGCTGATTGAATAAAATACAATGTAATGTGTACAAATAGACAATGTATATAACGAAAAAAATTTTTTTATCCATCATAGTATATCGCGACAAAAACGGATGTAATAAATATGTATATAAAGTCTTTATATAAAAAAAATCAAGAGTATTTTATAATTATTAAGTAGCGAAACACATCGAATATAAAAAATATAATAATATTACAATTATGTCGTCAACATATCTGCATTTATTCCGTTTCACATTTTCTGATTGAAATTAACCCTTTACGTCGGTAGGATAATGTCCTGACCAGCCTGTAATAATATAAATATATATAATATCTTCATTTTGATATTTTCTAATTGTTATCTTTTAAATAAAATAGTATGCTGCAATTTATACAACATATACACTTATAAACTTTTTTGAAAGAATAATCCTATAACTCACTTCCGGAATTACTACTAGCAAAGGCACCGCTGGAAGCCCAGGAATTAGATCCGCCTTGGTTTTGTGCTCCACTAGAAGGCCAATTTCCGCTACTAGCTTGGCCAAAATCATTGCCAGATGCTGAGAACACAAAGTTGCACAATAAATTTATTTATTCAATTTTTACAAGTAAATTAATTGTAGAATCTAAACGAAATTTTTTTCTCTTAAGACATGTTGCAGTTTGATTAAAACAAATTAATCACATATTTGAAAATATTCTGCATATTATAAAAAATATTATATAAATATAATATTTAAAATGTGACATGTTAATCACATTTCCAATTATGTGATAAAATAGATAAGAGGTATGTTGAAAAGCATATTTCATTGCTATCACAGATAAATATGGTAAGTTAATTACTGGTGGCACGGATTGTATAATAGCTATCGTAGTCGAGGAACGGAAACGGATATTTGGGGCTTACTATTAATTCAAATGTTCCCTTCTTATTTGATTTATGCATCATTGTACGATAGATCGCATCAATCACACATGTGTATTTCCAATCTCTCATATGCAATTGCGAATGACCTCGAAGCATTTCCGATTATGAGAGAGATACATTGTTATCCCTCTTTCCTATGCCTCGTTTCAAAAATGTGCACAATAAATATCGTTAAATGGAGAAGTTAAATTAGCTGTGGGAAAATTTGAGTATCCACATTCATATGATCTACTTGAGGAAGATATAAACGTCGAGAAATTATGAACGCATCGTTGATTTGATGTATATAATTGCCACTCCCTCGTACGTTTTAATATCCATCTAACTCTGCGGCTTGTAAACATTGCAATACTGATTATCTAAGTATATTTAATCGGCATCGATTTATTAATTTTGATCAATTTTACCTCTTTTTCATATTATTATATGCAACTTTAAGAATTAATGCAGTAATGTTCTTATAAGACTAAATAAATCTTGGAAATTTGTTGTAATTTTCAAGCAATTGCAAGAAAGATTGTACGTTAAATCATTATATTCTTATAATTTTAAAATTTTATCATATTATTGATTTTTTCTTCAAAATAACATAATGTTTTTTTCCTGTATATAAACAAGTCGCATTTTTAAATTATTCCAAGAACATGTACATATTAGATATATGTATTTTTATATAAAAAAGACATGTTTAAAATTATTTACGTTTATATGCTTTTGCAAACGAACCTGCTGTATTAGGGAAAGGTAAAGATTTAGCATTGGCAAAGCTGGAAGCTTGGGCGAAAGATCCAGCGTAAGCACCACCAAACGATCCTGGCAAGTTACTTCCCGCCGATGCGGAATGTCCTGCGTCGAACTGACCACGGTTTACTCCAGTTCCAGGATTGCCGGGCCCACCAGGAACATTAACGTTTCCTGAATCTCCACCTCCACCGATTCCTCCAAGTACTCTTCCCGGATGCTTAGTCTCGTAGCTTCCGCTACCGGGCGTTCCGCAACCAAAAATACCCAACTTACATCGTAACGGATCGACACTGCCAGGATTTCCATCTGTAGGATAAACCCCGCCGCTATTTTCCTGTTGCGGCGAAACTCCATGAGAACCCTTTACACCGTCACTTTCTGGCTTTCTCGATGCGGGATATCCGTCAGGCTGTCCCCCAGTGTATGATGGACTATCTGAGCCACTGTTTGCACTTCCGAAAAAGGGATTGTATTTTTCAGGTTTTCTTCCTCCGAGTGGAATGACACTTTCATTAGGATTAACTTCGGTATCTCCTCTTCTGTTGTTATTCAGAAATGGATTGTTTTGACCAATAGGCTTCGTATTTTCTTCATCATAAGGAATCAAATTTCTGTCGTTATTTGCATTATTGTTATATTCAGGCTTATGCTCGTTCCAACCGGAATTGAAGAATGGATTTCCTTTTCCAATTGGTTTAATTGTAGTTCCGCTGTTCGAGGAACCTGAATGTTGTTTCAGATTACTGCCTAAATAATGAGGAAAAATATAATGTTTATATATATATATATATATATATATATATATATATATATATTTTATACAATATAATTTTCATATCAAAAAATTACTTCGAAAAATGATTTTCATATTATTTTGAAATGCTTATCTTATAATTTCACTCATTTTCTTTTAAGATAACAATCTCATCAGTTACAATATATACTTATATACTTTTATGTAAATTTCATATAACGATTAAAAATCTAAACCTTCATATTGAAAATTAAAAATTTAATATTTTTATAAAATAGATTCTTCAAGAAAAATTTATTATCGTAAAATTTTCTTTCGCTTATATATTCTTTCCTTCACTAATATATATTCTTTAATTCATAAAACATATAAGTATATTCATAAAAAAAATATTCATAAATATATTCATGAAATATTAAGATTGAAAGCAAAATGTAATTTATAAATAATAAAAATAAGATTTAACAAAATTTTTGTATGTACATCAATGTACATCATCAATATATACCTCCAAATAAGAATGGATTTACGGAATTCCATCGCACAGGATCTTCAGGTGTTACACTTGCGCCTTCAATTAAAATAAAGATTTAATTTTGTTCAATTATATTTAAATCTATGTGTATATGGATATGTGCACGCGCGCACGTTTGTGTTGTGTGTGTGTGTGTGTGTGTAAATAACTCTCTAATTACATATTACTTATAGTCACATATTATTTCATAATTTAATAGTATAAAGTATTTTTTTAGTTAAGTATCACATTGTTACCTTGATTACATGAATTATCTCCACTTCTACATCCTACATTTTGAGGATAAGCTCCGTTATTGAAAGGTGAAGCTGATCCATATGTATTCCCAATATTTGGAACGTGGCCATCACCGGTTCCAGCGGGATAATATGTTTTATTAACGCCACTGGGACCGCTTATTGGTTCACTACATGGTCTATGTGTCACTGGTGTATTATTATCCCTTCCAGTGCAACTGCCCCCGCAATTATAATTTTCGCCTCCACAATGGCTGCTGATGGCATTTCCACAATTTCCGTTCGAACATTCAGATGGCCGTGTCCTACTTCCATCAGGTTGGTTATTAGGCCAAGCTCCACTTTCATTTGGAGGTTGTTTGATAGGTCCAATTCCACTTCCGAATCCAGGATAATTACCGGGCGTAGCACTACTTCCATCTCCAGGTTTTCCACTAGGCCAATTGCCGGTTCCACTACCTGGTTGTCTAGCAGGCCAAGTTGGACTAACGCTTCCAGGCTGTTGTCCAGGCCAAATATTACTTCCTCCATCTCCAGGTTTTTTACTAGGCCAAGATCCACTATTATCTCCAGGTCGTTTCCCGGGCGAAGTATCACTCACGCTTCCAGGATACCCACCAAGCGTGGTTCCACTTCCAGGTTGTCTTCCAGGAGTAATTTCATTTCCAGATTGCTTGCCAGGCCAAGTACCAGTTCCAGCATCAGGATGTGTATGAGGAATAACTCCATAAGCAGGTCTAGAAGAGCTTTTGACTCCGGGATGATCCGAAGCTCCTTCATATGTTGGCGTTGTTGGAGTTATATAAGGAGTATACGTACCAGGAAATGATCCGAATGTGCTTGCACCAGCGCTCGCACTTGCACTACTACCTGCCACATTAAAACTGGGTTGTTTTAGCCCTGTTCCACTGTATGAATTGCTGGGACTTGGAATGTTTGTGTGACCAAACGGAGTTTTGGTTGTGCCAAATCCAGGAGCGGGAAATCTTGTATGAGAAATTGTCGTTCCTGAATTATACCAGGTATTACTTCCACTTGCATGCTGACCAGGACTGATTCCGCTTCCATAATTTGGTTTGGTAATACTTGGATAAGCACCGCTTTCAGGAGATCCCGGTAATTTTCCAGAATTGAATATATTACCTTGAATTCCAGGACCCGGTGAATTAATTCCGAACGGTCTTTTGGTGGTCCCGAAAGTATTTGCTACATTCGACGGCCATGTACTTTCGTGTCCAGGTTTGTTATAATCAGGAACACTTCCTGGACTATAAGTGCCACTACTAATGTTAGGATGTGCTTGATCTACTCCACTGTACGGTGTTTGAGTGTTCGTTGGTTTATTATCAAATGGATGATCTTTCTTTCCAAAATTAGGTGCTCCTCCGTGAGGAATGTTTCCAACGCCGGATGTTACACTTGCTCCAGCATAAGCACCAGTACCTATGCACACATAACATTAAGTTTAGATTCTTTAAAACAATTCTAAATTAATTAAAATAATTCTAAATTTCACTTAAATTAATTTAAAACAATTCTAAATTTCACAATATCTCTAATATATATAATCATATAAAAAATGGATTATATCTAAAATTGTTGTATTTTTATTTTTTTAAGTAAAAACAATACTATATTAAATATATAATAAAATAACGAAGTGTTATTTTCAGAAACACGTACTTTGTATTCCAGATTGACCGTAAGGCCAATTCTGATTTTCTTTAGGGCTTCCATAACTATTTGGAGGAGATAAACCACTTCCTGTTTGTGGTCCCGCAGAAGAAATACCACTTGGAGATTCATCATTCGTTTGATCAATATTGATAGGTATTGCGCCCAATTTGACAGGACCTTGTTTACCTAGTATAATATACATATAATTAACATATATTATTGTAAAAATATACTATAAATATAATATAAATTTTATTTTATATATATATATATAAAATAAAAATAAAATTTGTAAAATAAAATATATTCTCTCTTTTTATTCTTACTACTATATATTATATAAAGTTTATACACATAATTTTATATTCTAATTTTCATAAAGTTTTTCATTATATTATTTTAATATTATGTGAAACAATATATATTTAAGATTGAGATTATTATATTTGTAATACATAAGTTTTTTATTTTCCAAACTTCGAAATACGAATATATAACAAAATATATAAAATAATGATACTCTATAAAATCACTGAAAACAAAGAAAACATATTAAAATATATTATCGTGTTTTTTCATAAAGAGATTATCGTACTACCTTGAGTGCAACTTGAATCAGGTCGAGGACAACCAGATGTACCGGCAGACGTTCCATAATCCGGATTCCAATTCGGTTCAGGTTTACCGCCGGATGGAGCATTCCAGCTTTGTTCAGGTTTCGGCGTTGTGCCAAAGTTTGCGCTATGTCCAGGAGTACCACTCCAAGAACCAGGTTTTCGCGAGAACGGAAATCCTCCGGTTGGAGTATTATCGGTATTCCAATTTGGCTCAGGTTTCGGTGTGACACCGAAGCTTCCGGTGGGTTGACGGCCGGCGTTCCAGCCTGGCGCAGGTTTCTGCGAAAAGTCTGTTGTTGGAGTATTATCAAATCCAGTATTCCATCCTTGTCCAGGTCTCGACGTGCTCGCAATAGGTGTACCATCGTGTCCAGTATTCCAACTCGGTTTACCGCCGGATGGAGCATTCCAGCTTTGTCCAGGTTTCGGCGTTGTACCAAAGTTTGCGCCATCATGTCCAGGAGTACCGCTCCAAGAACCAGGTTTTTGCGAGAACGGAAGTCCTCCGGCTGGAGTATTATCGGGTCCGGTATTCCAATTCGGTTCAGGTTTCGGTGTAACACCGAAGCTTCCGGTGGGTTGACGGCCGGCATTCCAGCCTGGCGCAGGTTTCTGCGAAAAGTCTGTTGTTGGAGTATTATCAAATCTTGTCCAGTTGATGGTGTACCATCGTGTCCAGTATTCCAACTCGGTTTACCGCCGGATGGAGCATTCCAGCTTTGTCCAGGTTTCGGCGTTGTACCAAAGTTTGCGCCATCATGTCCAGGAGTACCGCTCCAAGAACCAGGTTTTTGCGAGAACGGAAGTCCTCCGGCTGGAGTATTATCGGGTCCGGTATTCCAATTCGGTTCAGGTTTCGGTGTAACACCGAAGCTTCCGGTGGGTTGACGGCCGGCATTCCAGCCTGGCGCAGGTTTCTGCGAAAAGTCTGTTGTTGGAGTATTATCAAATCCAGTATTCCATCCTTGTCCAGGTCTCGATGTGCTCGCAACAGGTGTACCATCGTGTCCAGTATTCCAAGGTTTCCACGAAGGTTGTGCGCTAGTTGGCGCACCGGATCCGGTATCCCAATTTGTTCCAGGTTTCGGAGTTGTTACGAAATGTCCAGCAGGTCTAGAAGAACTGTCCCAAGTAGGCTTCGACGTGGTAGCAAAACTACTCGGCGTTATTCCTCTATTCCAATCTGGCCGAGAGCTTGACGGTGTGCCATAAGCTGGTGCGCCTGCGGTTGCACCAGCATATCCAGGTTTTAATGTCGTATAGGAAAATGGAGTATTCCAACCGGATCCAGGTTTCGGCGTATTTCCAAAGCCACCAGTTGGAGCTGCGTATCCAGTAGTCGGCACTGGATAGCCAGCACCACTGAAAGGTCCAGCGGGTCTACCATCTTCAGCATCCACATACACGCCTGTGGGTCCGGTCTTGTGTACGCCGGATGGATGTGACCCTGGTCTATGTCCTTTGCCAGATCCGCCCGCGCCTCGATGACGCGTCCCGTCAGGCTTGTATTGGCCGTCATCGCATTCGTCTCCATCATTCTCGTCCCCCTCCTCCTCTGGCTCATCCCGTTCCCAATAATCGTCATTTTCCCATTTGCATTTGGAACAGTCGTTCTTATTATAGCCATGATCCGAGCCTTTTATTCCGTCACCGCCGGCGCCGTGTCCTGGGACGGCGCCGTAAGACTTCGCACCGCGATCGGCGTCATTGTCATGGGAGAAGCCGCTGCTGTCATAGCTGCGAATTCCTTTGTGTCCGTCGTGGTCTCCGGAAAAATCTCCCGCTCCTCCAAATGCACCGGCGTTACTTAATGCAAATCCACTGGCTCCAGCGTAAGCACTGGCTGATGCTGTACGTGAAGAACAAATGCCAATTTTAGTAATGATATACGCATACGCATGTTTTTTATTTATTCTCTCTATTTTACTTCAAATTATGATATTTAAAAAAAAAGTAATTTGCGTCAATTATAATTTTCGTACAAATTTAATGCATTTATCTTTTACTCGTTCACTCAATATGATCAAAATATATAACTCTAGGGTTGTGAGAGAACGAGGCTTCGCGTTGAAAAATTTACATATCAATAAGGGAATAAATTTTCTTTATGTTTACAAAAACGCGAGAGAGGCCGAATATTTCACGATAGATTTAATCATTTCTATTTTCTAGACAAAGGCTGCAAATTTTGAACAATTTGTTTTTAGCAGAGAATATTTTACACGAATGAAAAAATAATATTATATTTTCTCCATAGATATAGTGATTCTAGATATATGTACAAATTATGACGTAGTCGTATGGCAAGGATGGCCTTTAACATTATTTATAAAGATGATTTCATTATCAGAAACACATATAGAAAAGATTCATATACGTACCGAAGGCGCCACTACTACCTCCATTTGCACCTGAAAGATATCATAATATTGTATATAGAGATTACACAAACTATAAATTAAAATATTTAAATTCAATCAGATACAAAATAAATATTTCTAAATAACTTGATTCTAACTTGATTGATTACATGAAGTGTGTTCTTGAAATATCAATTTTTTTTTTAAATAATACAAGTCTAATTTTAAAAAAGCTTTGAGAAAATTAATTCGATCACAAAAATATAGCTTTATTTTTAAAATCCTATTTTCTAATCTCTTTTATTTTTAAAATGTATTAGAATCAATATAAATACTTTTATATCTATTTCCTTTAATTTTAAATAAAAATAAAGATAAAAATAAATGAAAAAGATAAGAAAATTAATTTATTGAAAGATGGCAAGAAGATTTTTCATTTCTTTATTAAATATCATGTTAAATACTACGATTTTTGGAAATATGAGATTTGGGATGATAAATTACTCATTTAAGTTCGCGACACTACCTGACCCAACGATATACGTGCACACGACGAAGGCAATCGTCAGGGAACACTTTAAACAGCCAGGCCGCATCTCGATCATCTCGGCGGAGGCCGGTTCGTAGTTACTTTACCGGTTGCCTCGTGTACACTGCAGCGCCGATTGCCAAGAGCATCCTGAGAGATCGAAGACTCGTACATATATATATAAGGATACCCCCAACTTACTAATGTGTATATGCGTGAAAGGGAATCTGTCGAGGCGAATCCAGACGCCGCGAGGCGATCCGGCATAGGCAGCATCCTCGCGCGGCAGACATGCATTGTCGAACAATGAATAATTATATTGTTGCCATCACAGCAAAGCGAACGTGCGGCGATATAACAGAAGCGTCGCGACTGGTTCTGATGAGACGGTCCTGCGCGAAGATGTGACTACGTCATCGTTCTTTAGGAGTTTCCCCGGTGGAGAGACTTCAATGCTCGTCACGTCACGTTCACACATCCTGTACAGGGTATGCAGTAAGCGAATGCAAATTCGCACGTTATGAGAGCTCGTCATCGCACGATTCCTTTTCTATCCGGTTACTGCGAAATATAAATAACAATTTTCAAATAATGAGATGATAATTAACTTGTCTATTGGCAATAAAGGCGAGAGATATTAGTTAAACTTCAGCGAAATTGTTGAAATAATTTCGAAAATGACGGAATTTATTTTTCCCTTTAAAGAGACAAAGACATTTGTTTTTAATTCTTTAATAAATTTTAATAAGATCTCTATTCTGTAAAGTTTTAATATATTGACGAAAATGTGAATCATGCTTGAATTTTGAAAAATTTGTATCTATCGAATCTTATCTAATATCGAATCATATATTATAATCTAATATGATTTAATTATAATTTAATATTTCCATTGAATTCGTTAACAAACTTTGACGATAAGAAAAAGATGACTTTGTCCAAATATCATTGAAAAAAATATACCTTTTTCTCCCCAATAAAAAAAATTAATCGATGGATCAATTTTAACAATCTTTCCTAATTTGTTGCGTTAAATTAATTATTCTTTCAAACGCAATCATTTTTGTTTCGCTAATGCCTGTTGAAACATTCCTATTTAAATAACATATAATTCACGTATCAACAAGATCAGACAAATTTATACCATATTTATCTCACATAAATTTATACCATATCTATCCCATAAAAATTTTATGTATCTATCTTTATCGGATTCACAAACTCTCTAGTCTTGCGTATTAGAATAAATATCGCGAATTATACGGGACAACAAAAGAGACTGGTTTCGACAATAGAGAGGACTGGTTTTTTTCGACGAATCATTTACATCGAAATGTATGTGTCAGGATTCTCCTCCCAGATTGTATATATCGCAAACTCCTGCGCAATATAAATGTCGCAGAACTATGCGATCACTATGTATGTATACCATTACCTTGCGTATCATTCCATGTACAAGGCGAAACTAACGATTCATTGTGTAATAATAACACCCGTGATCGCATGTATTTTTAGAACATACGCCTGGTGTAATACATCGTAATGCCTCCTCCTAAATATCAATATCCTGGATGTAAAGTAGTCGTATAATATCGGGAAAAGCACAGAATACATGAAAAAATCTCTTACCGATGCAGATGGTATCTCGGAATGAAGATTTAAATTGGCTCATTATCGCGTGCTGCATCCGCGATAAAAAAAAAAAAAAAAATTAATCATACGATCCGCAAAATTCGCTTACCGGATATGAAAAAAATCTTACAGAATAAATGTGGATAAATTTCACGAAACATACATAATGATTAATCTCTGTACCCTCTTTGCCATTTTCGATTCCTCTGCAAAAATTTTTGTTTACATCGCATCCAATAATTGGGACGTATATTATAAAAATTCTAATATGTCTAAAAGTATAATTTCATTATTTTGTGTGCAAAATTTTTGCATAATTTTCCTCTCTAATAAATCATATATATTTTATTCTTCCATTTTTTTATACAAAATATTTTCTGTATAATAATCTATGTCGATGAAGAAAAACAGATAGTGATATCTTTAACAGATTATGATATAAGTTATATAAGTAAGTGAGATAGATCCATAGTATATTTATATCACGCTTATCAGATTTTCAATCAACATAAAGATAGATATTTTGTAAAATTGTCGGAAATTTTCTACAAACGCTATAAACTCAATATATAGGTTATAAATTAATGATATAAATATTAGTCGAAACAAACCTTTCTAGACTGAAATAATGAAAATAGTCTAACAATTCTTCTTAAATATTCATTCAATAGGTTCTTATGTATTTAAATTTCTCGTATCCGCGCAATGGCGGAGAATAGAATCGATAACACGTTGTTAGGACGCCACATGCGCGCTGTCTGACATGTACCTTTGTGCGCATGCGTGCGCAAACGTCACCGCCCACGTGACTGACTTTCCCAGATATGTTCGGAAATTCTATTCGTGGAGCAGATTAGTTTCTAGTTGGCTAATCGAGACAAAGAAATCTTTATTCCTGATTGGTCGATTAAACGCTACTTTATCCTACGAGTAGCATTTCCGAAAATACTTCTAAATTTATTGTCTAGCCCTCTAGCCTGCAACGCTTGAGTTATTGGTTACTGCTCATGCACTGATTGGTCATAATTCACCCAAGTGCAGCAACTGCAGCAAAGTGTAATGGAAGGTGAAACTCGGATGACGTAGGAATCGGATATTTCTGGAATTTCAATTGAGTACGTTCTCAGTTTTTCATCGACTGGTACATTTGCGGTAAGTGAACTTGTTAAGTTATATCGTCCAATATTCTATAATCTTCTATATCGTGTCTCTTCGATGCACAAAGTATCGGGTAAAGCACATATAATAGTGTGCCTCGCGCCTTTTCGGAAAGAAAACGAGGCACACTATTATATGTGCTGTTCGCCGGCATTTTATTAACGATGGGTATTTGTTTGTATAGAGAAAACGGTTTTATAATTGACGGTCTCTTTATTTATAACGTTAAATTTAGCCAGTAATCCTTGTAAATCGAAGCATAGTACTCTGCTATAATTCCACTTACATAACCTCTAAAAAAATGTCTTAATTATTGTTATATATATATAATCATTATACGTAACATCCTTACAAAAAAATCATAAAAAAATCAAAAATCATAAAAATTATAAATATATATATGTATATATACATTTTTCGAATTTCTTTTTCAGGCATTTGACACTCTGCAGAACATGGCAGATTCGGATGATGAATATGATAGAAAGAGACGTGATAAATTCAGAGGTGAAAGAACAGAGTCGTATTCACGAGAACGCAGAGATGACCGTAGACGTGACGATTGGGTTGATAGGTATACATATTTCTCCTTTTGTTTTACCCATAATGATAAAAAAAATTCTTGTTTCCTCTTTTTTCCCCCTTTATTATTGATATATTTATATATTTAATCTGAAGAAAATTGCTAAAATTCCTTCTTATCTCTTTTAGTAGAGAATGGTCAAGTCGACCTAGACAGCGTCCTGATTATCGCGAGTATCGAGGTGGAGGAGGCGGAGGACGCGATCGTTACAGTCCTGCGAGATCTCAAGACATACAACCACCCTTGAAAAGAATGAGATTTGAATGGGACGAAAGACCAAGATATGGTGGCCATGATTATTATGGTGGTGGTGGCGGAGGTAGTGGTGGAGGTACTGGTGGTGGTGGAACTTCTTGGAGTCCGGATCATTATCCCCCTCCTCACCATGGCAACCATCACTATGGCAATCACAGTAATAGCAGCAGGTTCGTTTGTTTTGTCATCCGAAGAATTATTCTCTTAATTTTTATGAATTGTAAAGAATGGTAAATAATGAGGAGAGCAAGATTTATGAGAATTGCTCCAAAACAGAGTCGTTTGACTCCAAGATTATTAGCTAAATTAAGGTAGTATTCATATTTAGAAATGTATGTTAAATTTACTGATTGTAATAATGACGGTTATTTATGTTATCTTGTGTATATTACATTATTAAAATTATTTTAGCTTATTGTGTAATATTGTTTTTTTCAGTCGGGAAGTAGCTGGAAATTTCAGTAATTCGAATGTCGAAACTCAGCCACCTATGATGTCATTCAAAGCCTTCCTTGGCACTCAAGAAGATACTATTACTGATGAAGAGGCTATTAAACGCTACAATGAGTACAAATTGGAATTCAGAAGACAACAACTCAATGAATTCTTTGTCGCTCATAAGGATGAAGAATGGTATATTAATTTTTATATTCTTTTTTTTTTTTTTCACATTTAAGGGGTTGCATGTAGAAGATTGAACAATTTTATTACGGCATTTTTGACAGATGATAAAATGGAATTAATTTCTACAGTGGCTGAAATATTGTTAAATTTATCAAGTAAAAGTAAACATAGTAAACGTCATTGAAACTATAATTTTATGCAAGAAATATGAATATACTTAAATAATGCGGCCATTGTAGGAGATCACAGAACTCTGTCCACGCATGTACATATATCGCTACATGTCTGGTGGAGGTGGATAATTTATATAATCTTTGATAAATTGCAGACGCATACTGATATGTAGCTAATTTCAAACAATATGACCAGTTCTGTCTATCCCTACAGCGTATCGCCGTCATCGCCTTATACCTTGGGTCATCTCGCTCGTTTATTTTCTCGTACGATATTTTATGAATTTCGCGTTTCGCGCATCGCTGAAGACACAAGGTGCCTGATTAGGTAGCTAAATAAATTGCGAGCTGGGCGCGCAAAGCCCAAAATATGCTCGCGTATAGGCCGCGTTCTAAACCCGCTATTTATTTATCACGCTCGAGTACTATACTTGTCTATAAGACTCTGAATCGACGAGAAAACTGAATGCGAGTAGAAATATGACTGCAGGTGAGGCTTCATTCTGTAACCAACAATGCATGGTATTATACCGACCATGCTTCGGATATATTTAATTATGATATATATGGATTTGGATAAATCATGGAACAAGGATTCGCAACTAATTAAAACTCGTACAACTTTTCGTTTTTTAATTTATTATAAAGGACACAGCTAACGAGTTTGAATACTTCTTACTAATGTATCATTTTTTCTATTTTTCTCTACACATTCTATTGAGAATAATATTTTTAAATAAAAGTTGTACCATAGGTAAAACGTTCATAATTGATATAAGATTCTTGTTCTTGTTTTACTTTACGAATATTTGTATGCATATACGCAATATGAGGAAGCAAGATGCCGAATTTTTTGCTTTTACTTATGTGGTGCATAAAAAATTATTTTGCAACATTTTGTATCTGTCATATTTGCATACACAAATTTATATGTAGAAAAAAGACGCTAATTTTCATCCGCGTTGTATCTTTTAAATTACAGAACTAGCTGCATCACTGAATTATACATATGTGTATTCTTATTCAAGATTCGTATAATATCGTATAGTATTGTTACACACTGAATTATTTTGTGAGCATTCACTTATTATGTTTTTTCTATTGATCGCCAGGTTCAAGATAAAATATCATCCTGAGGAATCAGTGAAAAGAAAGGATGAACAAGTATCAGCACTTAAGGTAGATACAATATTAAAATATTAAAATATATAAAACATTTTTCGATTTTAGAATATTTATCTGGAATTTTATTCTTATTGCAGAAACGCGTGGATGTTTTTCTGGAGTTGCTGAACTTGGGAGACATTGAAAAAGTGTCTGTCGATGCCGATCAAGCAGATGCATTGCTACATCTTTTAGATGCAGTGGTTATTAAATTAGAAGGAGGAACAGAAGAGGATTTACAAGTTTTAAACATCAAACCACCTAAACCTATAATAGCTAAAGATGTCTTGAAAGAAAAAGAAGATAATAAGAATAAATCTTCTGTAGAAAAGAAATCCGAGAATAGGTATTATATGATATTCTATATTAAGATATACATAAGATATGAAGAAATTCAAATATATTCTATTATTTCTGTATTTGCCTTATTTCAGTGATGAAAACAAAGATGAGCATAGTGAGAAAAGTTCCAAAAATGATGATAATGTCATACCAAAAGTCGAAAGTTCTGAAAAAGATGAAAATGCGATATCTGATTCTGATAAAATAAAGCAAAACGATGATGAATGTAAAGACGTGGAAGAAACTGCTAATGATGATAAGCCTGGTATGTATATCTGAATATTTGACTCCATTCCAATATTACAGTCTGTCTTATTGCAATAGAAAAATCAGAGAAATCGAGGAAACGTAAACGTACAGAAAGCAATAGCAGCAGCAGTAGCAGCAGTAGCAGTAGTTCTTCTGGTAGTGACAGTAATAAACCAGACACACCGAAGACGGAGACTCGTAAGTATAATTAAATAGATATTTCTTTATCTAAATTATCATTATATAAAAATATTGTATTATTTATTTTACTCAAATCATATATAATTATTATCAGCTGCCATTGAAAAAATGGAGGTTAATAATGAAGAAACTGACGAAGGAGATACTAAGAAAGAGAATCAAGAAATTAAAACGAAAGCAGAAGTTACAAATAATAAAAAATCTACAATTGAGCCAGAAGCAGTAATTGATTTAGCCAGTGAAGATAAGGATAAAGAACCTAGAGCTCTACATAAAACAAGCAGCATTTTCCTTCGTAATTTAGCACCTACGATTACCAAAGCGGAAGTTGAAGCGGTTAGTTGAAATATTACCTATCAATTATTAATAATTAACTTATAAAGGCTTTAAATAATCTTGTGAATAATTCATATTTTCTTTCACTGCAAACTCGTCTGTATTAATATTATAATTATCGGAACTTAAAATAATATAACAAATCAAAATTAATATCGAAAGGCAGTTAAGAGCCAACGCAGTTGTAGGGCGTGGATAAAATAATTTCCAAAACAGCAACTCAATAAAATTAAATACTTCATGTCTGTCGATAATTGAAAACATGCCGAAAATTTAACGGGTTGTTTTCTGTTTTGACTGTCTTTGTCCTCTGTATATATAGTTTGTTACCGACCACATTTTTACATTATTACCGTTACCGTTCGAATTATCGGCTCATTCGACTGTTAGCGTGTCGATTATTTCGTGTCGTTTCTGCTGGTCCGTCTCTTGTCCGAGTGAGTGAGTGGTCTTTGACTATAGTTAATGAATTTCTCTCTTTTTTAAGATGTGTGACTAGTTTTGATTATATTTATTCAGTGCATCGCTCTTCGCTTTGTACCGTTGAGAGGGCTTTTTGCATCGTGCTTTCTCGGATGGATCAGCCTTGACGAAGTCGCGTCACTTCTATAGACCATACATGCTTGTGACTATGCTTTCTCCTTTCTTTTGTATTTTATTGATACTGCGTTTTTATTCTGTCTCATTTGATTTATTTTTTCTTTGTTTGTATTAGAATCATTGAAGAAGGCTTGAATCGAGTTCGAAACGTTTGGAATAAAGCGAATGGATCGTTAAAATTGAGTTGCTGTTTTGGAAATTATTTTATCCACGCCCTACAACTGCGTTGGCTCTTAACTGCCTTTCGATATTAATTTTGATTTGTTAATTTAGAGGAGCCTTTAACTTTGTTTATTTTATTAAAATAATATATTTATTAAACAGATGTGCAAGCGATTTCCTGGATTCTTACGTGTGGCTATAGCAGATCCGCAACCAGAGAGACGATGGTTCCGTCGTGGTTGGGTTTCGTTTGAAAGACAAGTGAATATTAAAGAAATTTGCTGGAGTCTGAACAACATCCGAGTGAGTTTATTCGCGTGCGCATTTATTATTAAAATAGGAATTTAAGAATACTTCTAAACCTTTTTTTATTTCTTTAATACAGCTACGTGATTGTGAACTTGGTGCTATAGTAAACAGAGATTTATCACGACGAATTCGATCAGTGAATGGTTTAACATCTCACAAACAGATAGTCCGACACGATATTAAACTCAGTGCAAAAATTGTTCACAACTTGGATAATAGAGTGGGATTATGGAAGGAAGAAAAAAAGGACGAAGGTGCATCGAAACAAGAAGAAGAGAAAGAAAATAAGACCGCTCCAAGTAATAATGAAGTCGAGCAAGCTGTAAGTAAAATTTGTATATTATATCTCAATGATAGTGCTTGTGGACGTAGAAATGTAATTCGCTATTTAATCAAATTTTCTGTCGTCTAGGCTTTCGGATTGTCATCTAAAAATCCGGTATTGAAAAATATAACAGATTACTTGATAGAAGAAGCTTCAGCCGAAGAGGAGGAGTTGCTAGGTATGTCGGGTGAGCAAGAAGAAGGTCAATTGGGTGGTGATGGAGATAGTTCCATTGAAAGAGATCCGATTCTAATCAAGGTAATAAATAAATTCGTACCAAGTAGCGATTGATAGAAAATAACTTGTTTCAATTGTATTTTATATGAATTATATTTTATATGCATGTTGCATCTTTGTTTTTGTAGGTGTTAGACAGATTAGTGTTGTACTTACGAATCGTTCATTCTGTTGACTACTACAATCATTGTGAATATCCAAACGAAGATGAAATGCCAAACAGATGTGGAATAATGCACGTGAGAGGATCGCCACCCACCGCCAAAATTTCCAGCGCTGAATTATCGGAGTATTGTCGTAACTTCGAGAGCAAAATGTCAGCTTTCTTGCAACCGGTCGCTACTTTATCCACCGAAGAATTCGACAAGCTAGGAGCGAAGAATGCCGAAGCGTATCCTTTTTTGACGAATGCACAAATGTGTAAAACGCTAATCTGAAAATGATAATTTATCATGAAATATTTTCTTAAATATATGAATAGTGAAGTTGAAAAATTCGTTCAAGCTAACACCCAGGAATTATCAAAGGATAAATGGTTATGCCCTCTTAGCGGAAAGAAATTCAAAGGACCTGATTTTATCCGCAAACATATCTTCAATAAACATTCCGAGAAGGTCGCTGAAGTGAAAGCAGAAGCTGAATACTTCAACAACTATTTAAAAGATCCAAAGAGGCCTCAGCTTCCCGAACATCCTGGTAACAAGGCTCCATTGAGAGACGGACCACGCGAGAATTTTACACCGTATGGTTGCAGCTCGTAAGTATTATCAAAAATCATCAGCAATTAAAAATATTTAACGAGCAAATCGTGTCTATATATATAATCATCAATGTAATATACATATTATAAAAAGAAGGCGTTATTTTGTGTAATCGCACTAAATGTATAGGTTTCTTGGAATTGTATGAAAAATTTAGAAAATAAATATCGTTAAGATATTTTGTATGAATATCTTTGTGTTTGCAGATTCGGAAATTACGGTGGCGGATACGGTGGCAACAGAGGCAATTACGGTTCTGGTTACGGTGGCGGATTCGGTGGCGGATTTGGCAATCCGCGCTCTAATCGTGGTGGATTCAATCGAGGACGGTAAGATCATTCTTTCTTCACAATATAAAAAATCAGTTTTTGTTTGAATATAAAGTAAGTCACCAATAAAATATCGAGCGATTTATAAATAAAAATTATAAAATGAATTTATATAGCGTTGGCACATGTCAGTTTGACACATTGATGAAATTCGTACTGGAATTAAAATAAAATTTAAAATTCACAAATATATTATCGGTCCGGTCAGGTTAGATAGAGTGAACGTAGTGATGCAATATTTTACAGGGACGCTCCGGATTCTGCGTTAAGAGCTATTATTAGTTATAATGACTTGGACCAACCAGACATGGACACGTTTTAAATTTTATCGAAATCTATGCGAATATATTTTCTCTCGTAGAACAAAGCAATCATAAAAAAGTGCCAATATCATATACATATTATATATGTACATGATGTGTAATACATTAATGATAAAAAAAGAAAAAACATAAAATTAACTATTGTGTTACAAAATCAGCATAATCTTTTACTCAAATTATTTATAATATAGCCCAAATTTATTTGATTGTATACCTTGAAATCAAATATATGCACAAAAATAAATAAAAAGAGAAGCAAATCTCTAAATCTCTTTATATATATATATATATTTATTTATTTTTTTAAGAATTTTAAGTCGCAATATATAGACAAATCAATTTTCATACAATGCTATTTAGAATGAGTTCGAAGATCCGCTGATATTGTACATTTATTAATAACAAATAAACCTATTTGTAAGTTATTTTAACATTTTGTTATTTTATTTTATCCCATTTCCGCTTGAATCCTATGTCCGGTTGATCGTGCGAAAGTGATATGATATATTGATCCAATTATATGTGGCACGAAAAAAAATTATTATTATTATTATTCATTATAATAATATTTTTGAAGCTTTGTTGGGAATTACTTGAATTATTCAAATTATATAAAAATTTGTTTCTTCAATATAGATTTCAATATAGATGACATATGGAAGATATGAAACATATAAAAAAATGTTTTACACATACACATGCAAAGTAATAAAAAATATATAATTAATATTAAAATCATCATTCTTTTAATTATTCTAATAAAAATTTAATATTACAGTGGCGGCGGCGGTAGCGACTTTCGACCAGTCATACATTATCGAGACCTCGATGCACCTCGAGAACCGGACGAATTCCTGTAAGATGATTAAGTAATGTTTACAAGAAATACTGAGATCGAATACAAAGATCTATGGACACTGCTTAAAAGTTCTTGTCTTCTTTTCTGGAAAAGATTTTAATATTTCTTTTATAAACAATATTCATACAAGTATACGTTTCGTGCATAACTCAGATAGCCAATTATCTGTCAGGTTGTTGTTATATTGCTAACAATTCTTGGCAATATGATAATAATATAAATAATTACGCTTGGTTATCTGGATACATTAATAATTGCTACAATCGATTACAAAAAAATGAGTTGTTTAACTAAAATGTTAAGCAAAATGTATATGAATATAGAATATTTTTAAAAAATTGTGAAAAAGATATTAAAAAGAGAATATTGCCATCTAAAAAAAACTTTGAAAAGAAATAAATTCAAATCTAATTTGAAAATAACATAAAGAATCTTTATTATGTATTTTACATATCACTTGAATTTCTTATATTTTTGAATTTTAAAAAATATAAATACTCTATAAACAATAAAATATGCACCAAACAGAGTAATTAACTTATTCTACATAATCTTTTATTTTTATTTTATGAAGAATATGAAAGAACAATATTGATTTATATATAATCTTAATATTTATCATTCACGATATATATATGTGACTAGAATGTAGAATTATATAATAGTGATATAATAAAAAAGATTCTCCGTACTATTTGTCGTACTATTTTTTATGATTGTTAAAAAAATTAAATGTAAAGAGGAAGAAAAGAAGGTGTGAGAAGAGAAAAATGAGACATTTTCAATATATATATTGTTATATTTTTACTTATATAACACACTATATACACGTAACATACATTTATCTTTGTATAAAATACTGCATTTGATTTTCTCCGATTGGCAATATCTTGTCTCTTCACATACGAATACTAAGTGAACCGATCCTTGCAGTGTCTCTCATCCGTACCATCTCCACAATCGTCAACCCCGTTACATTTCATTCCCTTCGTAATACATCTGCCGTTTCTGTATAACATAATTGTTACATGTACAAAACAATAACGGTATAATTGTAATTTAAAATTGTATCTTACAAATTCTTTTCTTGAAAAAACATTGTTACTTTTCGAGATATATCGAAAGAAAATCGAGACGCGATGTATATTAAAAATTCGTTTTTTTATAATAAAGTTGAAATTTGTTATAAACTAAGAACTTTAAATATTTTAAATATTCAATACTTATTACATTATCACTGTAAATTATTTCAGTATGCTAAAAATAGAAAAAAAAAAACATACTAAAGACATTTAAAAGCTATGATTCAGAAGATGGAAGATTCAATTTAACGAAAGTATTCCTATCACATGTATATCTTTTTTTTCTTATTAATTATTTCTTATACAGAGGGATGTATGTTAATGGCTTACTGGCATGTAAATTCCTGTTTATTACATCGTCCTTTGCACCCGTGAGGCTCGTCTGATTCGTCGCTACAGTCCGCTAGTCCGTCACAAAAACGAACTTTTAATATGCATTCCCCATTATTACACGTAAATTCCTTGTCCACGGGGCAAGCTAAAATGAAAATTATCGACTTAAGCAAATAAATTATTAGACTTAAGCAAATAAAAGATGCGTTTTTGATTATTCGATTAACTCGAGACGATGAAGTTTCTAATTGTGTGTGTCTGTGTGTGTGTGATTATTTCTTAATGATATATTTACATTGTACTTTCAAAATTATTCGCCAAACAATCTCAATTGCATTTGTCAAAAACTTGATAAGTAATTACTAATAGTCAAAATTTGTATATTATTATATTGGATTTTTCCTTCACTTTTTATACAAAATGTGACAAATTCGATCAGTCACTTTTTGTCTATGAATATTGTATGTGAAATATCTTCATACGTTCCAGATTTATACATCGCATAAGCAAATCATTATAAATCATGCAACATTTTTCTAATAAAAATTGGGTTAGTCTCTAAATATACCAAAACGTTTAATGTGCTAAAATGAAATATTTTTAAGCATTGTTGGAACTTGTGTGCATTATTGGCAATTCGATAGGATGCGCAGGCATGCAGAGTCGTGCAAAACACCCAGCAAACATGATGACATCTAAAAACTTAATGATGTATTAATGATGCATTATATGTCATTAAAACGTTATTAAGATGTCTTTAGACATCATCATGTTTGCTGGGCATGCGTGTGTTTCAAATATACAGAGGTACAAAAGTACTCACACCAATTGAGATTACGACCTACGGAAGGAAAAAAAAGAAATGAGAAGAGGACTTTGTAGATCAAGCGATTCAAAAGCAAGACTACAAATATACATTTTCCTACTGAAACTTTTGCACAAAATGTCCTACAAATATTTCTTTTCTCATCACGTATTTTAGAAATAATAAAATACTAGATATGAAAAATGTATTCAGAGAACACTCGAAAAATTGTTACTTTTTATCATAATAGGATCTAAATAAATGGTCGAAGAAATGCTTGATAAATGTAGGACATTGTGAAAAAATTCGGCAGATTTTTTTTTTTTATTTTCTCGATTACAATTAACGGTCTATTGATACATTCTACGAAAATCTTCTACGATAATTGTCCGCCCTATTACAACATAATATTTTTGTTTCGTTAAACATTTCGACACTGCTGTTATCGCGAAAAACAAAGAAAGAAAAACGCTCACCTAACGTGCAATTAATCTCGTCGGCTGCGTCCCAGCAATCTATCTTTCTGTCGCATCTCTTCTCCAACGGAAGGCAGGAGGTCTCGTTACCGCACTGGAAATGCGTCTCCAGATTGCAGGCTGAAAAAGAACGTGTAGTACAACTCGATAGTATCGCATTCTACTTGCTTTATGTACTTTGTCTCTCGGTGCTTGGAACGCTTATATTAAATATGGCAAGAGCAATATTTCCATTGTTAATTCGAGCGAGCAATTACACGTGAATTATCTGATCGAATTTGTGTTTTCATAAATATATGATTATATATGATTGTTACAAAAATATGGAAATTATCTCGTTCAAAATCTCGAGATAAAATTTGAACGATAATAGAAATTCGATAACAGAGACAATGACCGATATAAAATCATCTTATCGAATTTTGTTTTTTATCCTAATCTAGCAATATGGTACAAAGAAACAGTAATATTTTTTTCTTGTAAAAGTAACTTTGCATGTGCTTGTATTACATCTACAAACGAATAAAGCAACGATAAGATCCTTCTTGGAAAGGATATTTTTATTATAATTGACTATGAATTACGTATAATATTTAATATTTAATTTGATTACTAAATTTGATAGTTTATATTATTTTCTAAGCTCTCCCATTTCGATTGGAATTGGATTGCATTATATTCTGTGATTATGCTCCAATTTTAATGCGGATTACATGACTAACGATATAAAAAAAAATAATAATAACCGAAGCCTTGCAAATAATGGCAAAGTAGAAAAGCCGATAACAGAAACTTATAGGTCACACCGAACTGGGGCAATGCGGTATGTTTTAACGAGAGACAAAGTCGCACGCGGATAGTGGCTTATGACGCTTCACGATATTTCAAGATCGAGGCGCGAGTAAATGAATGGTCACTACGTACTCACTTCGTTACGATTATTGTACAATTACACATACACACACGCACGCGACACATATATATTAAATACATATATATTAAAGCGTATATTTAATTATTATTTAATTACATATTATATATTATACAAGTAACAATCAAAACAATAGCAAGAGGATTCTTATAAATTTTGGCTACCTTCATTGAAGAAAAATGTAATATTAATTATAGGATTTCTTGTTTTTTTCTTGCCAAAAGGGTTAAAGTCAATATTTTAAACAAATTGTGTGTAAATTTAATCAAGTTTATTCTAAATCTTAAAAAAAGATAAATGCGTTTTGGATCTTTTCAATTGCGACTTTTATACTTACTACAATCGAACTCGTCCGAATGATCGTAACAGTTCATATGCCCGTCACAACGCTTGTACAAGGGGATGCACAGAGTATTGGAACAAGTCCATTCATTGTCCAGACAATAATGCTCAATTTCTACACATCTTTAAGAAACAATTGAGAAAACAAACAAAGAAATCAATTATAAATTTTTAAAATTCTCATGCCTGTATGAAATAATCAATAAAACACACACCGAATAATCTGATAAATAATAATTTATATATCAGGATTTCCTGGATCATATAAATAGATTAAATAAAATATTATATAATTATAAGATTATATCGTTACTAATATATCTGTTATTTATCTATATCATTAATTTTCTAATATAATTGCAACATATATTTTGCAAGATATTTTCCTCCATAACTTTACCAGCTCTTTATGGAGCTAAAACTGTGAAAAGATTCACTATTTGAAAATCTTTTATTGTGTGATTTACAATACTAAACGAATTCTCCCGAATCTGTCAATCAAAGATCAACGAACCTGAAGGCGTCTACGTCGAGGCGATGGCACTTTTGCTTGTCGATGATGCACAAACCGCCACATCCGGTGGGATCCTCACGATCAAGGAGGCTTCTGCATATCGGTACCTCATCGTTAACAAGAGCAACGCACACCTCACCTTCGAAGCAATCGTCGCAATATCTCGTCGCATTAGGATTTCGAGTCGTGGCTTCCGTTTCCACTTCCGTCGTCGGTGAAACGCTCTCCGGAAATGACGCCTCGCCGTTTAAAAAAGCGGCCATGGTAAACGCGTCGACGTTCATCGTCATCCCGCTCGTGACGATCAGATCAGGCTCGTCGTTCGGAATCACGGATGTGATCGGTTCACCGGATGTAACGTTCTGCTCCGTCAACTTGCTTGTCGACGACTTCAGGTACTGCTGAATGATCTGGAGTTTTTCTGGCTCTGCGAAAGAGGAGACTGTAATAAACGGATCAGTCATCAGATTAAAAAAACTTGTTCCTTATTCGTTTCGAAACCGGAAGTATAGATTAAATATATAACGCTTTGAGGCTCAACAGATATGTCTGCTTTTAATCATCGCCTATCCAAAAAGAAATTGAAATTAAAATATAACAACAGGATTGAAAATCCTTTAATTAAACAATTTTTTCTCTTGGTATTTTATGTACACATATACATTCATAAATATATATATAAACTAAAAAATATATATATACATATATGTAAATTATTTATATTTATATTATTATATACATTTATATTTATATTTATATTACTTTTTTAATTTATTTATATTTATATTTATATTACTTTTTTAATTTATTATGAAAAAAAGAAGTCTTTTTAATTAAATTTTTGTTAAAAAAAATGCAACTATAATATTATGTAAAAGCGAGCTTTAATGATGTTTTACATTATTACATTAATAAGAATCAGCACACATACAGAAACAAATCTGCATATTCTCCAATATTTCTTTTTTAATTTTTTAATTCTATCCTTAATATTAGAGACCGGAAACACTCAATTATTATACGGAACAAGTGAATAAAAAAAGTTTCTTACGTAAGTAGATTTTTTCAATTTTTTTTGCTCAAATCTCGGAGACTGAAAAGTGCCAATTTCCCAATTTCGTGTATTTAAGAAACGTGTTTCGTTTCTCGCGAATCCGCAGGATTCCATGGACGTGGCGTTTTGCACGGTCATTGGCTTTTGTCGCTTTTCATCGCGCATCGCGACGCGCGAGCGCGCTTCAATTCGATCGACCGCGCACGCGGACGAAGGAAACGTTTTGTTGACCCCGCGGTTAAATTCATCTCATCGTTGGACGAACAATTGCTGCGCTTCGTCGAATTAAACCTCGGCCTCGGCTGGATGCAGATATTTTTTAATTGTTCGAAACGATAAGGCGACGGCGATGCACAGCGAGTGCATCGTTTATTCCCGACCAATATAGGGCGCTCTAGCACGCAATCCCTGATAGAACGAGATGAAGAATTTATGAGGGTTGTAAATTCTATCGAGAGTAACAAAAGACTGTCATTCGTGATACTACAATGCAGAAAAACGCTGACGAAATAATTTGCGTTCGAAAAAATTGCGAGGAGATAATGACTTCAAATCAAACTTTTACTATAAAAAAAGTCAGTCTTCCTCCGCTAAAGTTTACAATGGAAATATCGCAAATCTGAGATAATTTAACAGCACGAAAGATGAGTCAATTTGCAATCAGTATAAGCGTAAGAAATGAATATGATAAATCAATAGAGATGAATATAATAAATCAATTTCTATAACATCCATAATAAATTAATTTCATAAACATTTGTTTTAATTGATAAACATTTTGATCAATCGATTAATCTCCACGAGCCGAGTAATATTTCATTCTGACAAACAAATGCGTATCTAGCAGCTGGTGAACTCATTTTTCACTTCATCAAATATTCATCGAGCTACTGTTATTATTTCAAGCGCACGCAATAAAGTAGAAGATAATTTCAATATATGTAAAATAATTCTCTACATTTTCTATTTTTTTCTAATACTTTTCTATTCAATTAATAGAGAAGCAAAAGATAAACGGAAATAAGCATCTTGTCGTGAGAAACTATTAATAAAAATCTCTTCTCATATTTTCAATAATTCTTCATCTAAATTCTTATTTAACAAAATAATTGAAAGAATATCACACAATTTATAATTCAGAAGTTAAGGAACAGCAGACGTATTTTTCTATATTCAACACTCCGGTTTGTATAAAAGCAACATTAGAAAAATTCAGAAAATTTTTTAAAGAATTTATAGAGTTATAATACTGGGAAAAAATTTTTTAAGGGCACCAGGAGTGAAACATGCGACGTGAAACTTAATAATAAGGATTTACTCACCGAAGACGATATACAACGCAACCCCAGCGACTCCCAGTAGGATCAGCAGGACGATCAGTAGAGGTACAAGCGGATTGGAACATCCGGATGTCTTCAGGGGACGAGCCAGATGAAGCGTCCAGCCACGACGATGTTTGTCAAGACGCGCCGGATGCGGTGGTGGATCGTTTCTGACACTTCGACGCAGATTAACGCGATTCTGCGAGGTCGGTGTGTGCGTCCGCGTTGGCAGCGAATAGGCTCTCTAAAGCAGAAAAAAAAACATGATGAAAACGACCGACGCTAAAACGAATATGAATTTACGAGCGGAACGTAAATCTTAGAAATGATCTCGTTAAAAAGGTGGGGAGAAAATAAAAGCAAAAAATAAAAGAAAAAAATTCCTTGGGGAACGCGAGAAAAATTGATTCGAAAATTACTTTTTTATTACACAGTGTAATCGAAAAATAAATATAATTAGGATATTAAAAAAATTCCTGTAAGCATTCTACAATTCAACGTAACATTTCGAAAATAAATCCTCAATTTTTATCAACAATCAATTGGCAAATCTATAATTATATAAATATATGTGTATAATAAATTATACATATATAATTCCACATATATCCTATAAAAAAGAGAGAGAGAGAAAACTTTGCGACTAAAATAACAGACGTATAGATTATATCAGAGAAAAATTATTTCCACAACATCCCCCTTGTTTCTTCAATTTTTCAAATTCGCCAAAACCTAAAATTCGTCAAATGATCCGGAAATAATAACTGATTAATTGACTATATTATACGGTTTTGAGAGAGAGAAATGTCGACTCTAAAATGCGGTTTCATAATTTTTGCCGTCTGCCTCTCTCGACATTGCGCGGCTCGCTAACGACGAGGTTTACGTCGGGCTATAGATAGACGTTTTCCACTTCCGTTCCGTTTTGTTTCTTTATGTCGGTGCCGCGCCAGACGGCGGCTGTTTCTTCTTCTTCTTCTCTCGCGGAGGCTGTTAACTCTGATGATGAGGATTGGCGAAGTTGCGGACGACCGGTAAATCGACGAATTTGAGGCACCAAAACGCGCACTTCCGGTCCACAATTTCTCTCATAGTGAGTTCATGTACTTTATTTATTGCCCACTCGTATTGACCTATTTAATTTTCCTGCGTTGATTAAAATTTTTGGTACGACGCAAATATCCAGTGAACGTATATCTCCCTGGATATCCATTAATCTAGCCAGATATGCCGCGACAACCAGATCTTTCATATTCCTCATTATGGCTATACTCTATTTTATTTTTTATTATAAAAGATACTTTATCTAAAAAAAACTTTCGTAGAAAAGAACTTTCGTGTTATAAGTAAATTAAATAATATTTTTAATCTATTTTAAATCTATTTTAAATCTATTTTACTCACAAGGGGAGATCGCGGTTGACTCTTCATCGATTTTGATCTCCTTTGGTATAGTGAATCTACATCGAAAAAAAGTTGATCCGTGTTCGAGCTTTTCGTCCAATGAGCCTTGCAAAAAAAATTTTTTTTTCCCGAAGTTTAGAGAAATTGCCAAGTTCGTTATCAGGCCTAAAGAAAGACACACTTTCGATCGGTGCCGCTAATCTAGTGGCAGAGCGCAAGAATAGTAATCCTGGAATCCCAGGTTTAGGACTTTGGGCTGTCATAATTTTTTTATTTTTTTTTTATTTTTTTTTAATATTTTATTTATATATATATATATATATATATATATATATATATTTATATATATATATATATATATATATATATATGTATATAACATGTATTATTTATTATGTTAAATAAATATTCGGCATACTAATAATGTTATAGTACACACTTTTCATTTTTCATAGCTCTGCTTGTGAATGGTTGCTCACTGATTTCTAATTTTGATTTCATTTTTAAATAATCGAAGTAAAAATTATACACAGGCGAAATAATACAGTGTAAAAATACGGGAAAAATGTCTTGCGTCTGACTACTAGCAGTTGCTGTAACAGAACAAGACTGATTTTCTACGATCTTCTAAAATCTTTCGAGAGTCCTTCTAGAACCCTTATTGATGGACAGGACCCTTCCCCCTCCCCCCTGCGTAACGTTTTCTGTAACGATACTTTAACGGGCATAGCATACAGCGGTTCACAGCAGGTAGAAAAACCGATTTTGTAAAGCTATGAAAAGTATGCATTCTAACACTATTAGTAACAGCCCAAAATCCTGAACCTGGGATTCCGGGATTATTATTCTTGCGCTCTGCCACTGGACTAGTAGCACCGATCGAAAGTGTGTCTTTCTTTAGGCCTGATAACGAACCTGTCAATTTCTCTAAACCTCGGGAAAAAAAAATTTATTTACAACGCGCATTGGACGAAAAGCTCGAACACGGATCAATTTTTTTTCGAAGTAGATTCACACCAAAGGAGATCAAAATTGGTGAAGAATCAACCGCGACCTCCCCTTGTCAGATAAATATTAAAAAATGTAAACGTTAAATACATTAAATACATTATAAAATATATATTTTAATTAAATACATTATAAAACATTATAATATATTACGTTAAATACATTATAAAATATTTTTATAATTTTACTTAATTTTTTTTATATTTACCAGAAACTTTATAACTTATATTTTATTTATAATAAAATTATAATTCAACGCTTCTCGCGCGGACTACGGTTTCTCAGCTTCGTTAAAGCGGACGGAAGTCTCGAGGAAACTATCTAGAAAGCATAACACAAACTAAAAGACGCTCAAAATAAAGTCACACCTGCGAATCTATTCTTAGAAAATGGCCTTTGAGTAATCCTGATATCATATTTATTTTTTAGATGAAAGAGGAAAGAGATGATCTCCTTCAAATTGATGATGCGCTTAAAGTTTTAAGAAATATATATATATATATTCTAAAAATATACAAAGAAAAATCAAACTCCAATAATATTTTTTACGGACAAACTATAAAATAATTCAAGATGCAAGATAAAGTATGCAAGATATTTCGCGCAAATAAAATACAATTTGCATAGTTCAATATATTAATATTTAATTAAAAATCTTTGCATGTGAAAAAATTTGTCATAAATCATTATCAATACCTGATAAGACGTGTATTTTAACACTACGTAATAACTCTACTCAAACTTGGTTATTCTCGCATACGATTACGTAAAGAAAATAAAAGTAGAATAAAAGAAAAAGAATAAAGAGATCAAGGAGATTAATTACCACGGAATTCGATGATAAAAACGAGCTTTACCTTCATTTAGGGCTGTTCAACTCTCTCAATCGTCGTTGATTAAAAACAATCACATTTAATGGCACGCGATGGAGAGCGGTTTAACGATACCCCGATACACTCCACGGAATGTCAAAGATGCCAATCGACCCGCTTCTGTCACGAAGCTCTAAAAGCCGGAGGGGACCGTTCTTTCTCTCTCTTTCTCTTTTTTTTCGCTCGCTCATGCGTACACTCGGCACGCGCGACGTGCACGTGTGCAGCGATGACATAACCAGTCGTCGTTGCCACTCGTTTATTGAGCATACACATGTCTCTAAATGCTAATACCGTACAATGGATAGACTCATAAAATAATAACAATAATCAAACTCTAAAACTTATTCTGATAGGTCCAAAGCGCAAGCACAATAATGATCTAATCCATTTTTTGTAAGAAACTTCGGAAGAAATATTTGTGGATAATTATTTATATTGATTTTGAATGAAATTTGTAAAACATCTTCAAAACATGCAATCAATAGAGATTTTCTACTAAAAATAGACAAGAAATCATTCTAAGAATATCCTTTCTCACCGTATATTTATAAAATGATATTTCTTGCTCTTAAAAAATTAATAAATTAATGTTTATTTGTTAATAGAAATCTCACATATCTATACTTATTGTCTTATTCTTCTACATTTAAATTATATTTATATTACATTTATATTAAATATAATTTATATTAAATATATTTATATTAAATATAACTTATATTAAATTATATTTATAATCAATTCATATTTATAATCATATTTATATTTCTCCTTAAACATACGCCTATAATTAATTAATAACAATATTATACGTGATTATATTAATTTTTAAATTCGGAAAATAAAATACGAGAAACTTGTGCTATTTATTATCGTTGACAATAGCGATGATAAAGGAGAATTCTATGATTACATTGATCTTATCCGGGACAGCGCGAACGCAGTCCCGACTACCAAAAATTATACGCCCGAGATACCCACTTTAGGGGTATTCGCAAGGGTCAGCCTAACCGTAGTGCAATGGAAAAGCCTCACCCTGGAGGAACCGCCTTTTTGATCACGGTAGCCTCTGCGCCAGGTAAGTATGCCTTCCGGACCGCGCAACCTCTTAATACTACCTGTTTGACGAATTTCTAATGCGAGAAACTTGTATCTGAACGCGCCACGTAGCGGTTACATTGTCCAACTAAGTCTTCTGGCAGCCAGTCGTTTAATCGAAACTAGTCGGGCAGTGATTCTCCGACTCCTCTTTACCCAGTAAAATTCTAAATATATTCTTCGCGTCGTTATATTGCATTTTGCGTTATTGCAGTTGATTTAAATTGATTTAAAAACCGTAAAACGAAGCGCTTTTCTTCCTGCATTTTATACATGACGTTGTATTTAAATTAAAAAAATAAGTTCATTAAGATTCAAAAAGTCTTCGTATCATTTTTATCCTTTCGCGAGCTAAAATATTTTTCTACCAAGAGATCTTAATTCGCGTATCGTTAAATAAAATATTTATACAAAAGATATATGCTTATATAAGAATACTATACTGCATCTATAAATTTAAAAAATGTATGGATGGAAAATAGGAGACGTTTTTGCAAACAATTCACCTGAAAAGGATTCTGCTCCTTGACGTCGGTGTAGAATATCGGTTGCTCCTTGCCGTACCAGCGATCCTGCGAGTAGATGGAATTAATCCTCATATCCGTTCCATTCCTCGATACTCCTAGAATCTTGTTCTGGTTGCTCTGCGTCACCTGGTCCAACATTCTATCGTTCACCAGGAACCTGGCCGCGTTCTCCGCGGTCGAGTGCAATTCATTCTCGAGAAATGCCGAGGAATTCTTGACGCCGATATCTCCGAGGCTCGTTCTTTTCACGATCGGATAGATCTTAATGTTCTGTGGCCTCAGCAGCGATTCCCGGAACAAAAAGCTGGACGTAAAATCCTTGTTTCGTTGATTGATCTCGTTCTCTCTTAAGATCGCATCCTCGCTACCGACCAGCTTGTCCAGCTTTTCGCAGGAATTCGCAACGGCCAATTTGCTTCTGCAATGTTTGCAGTCTTTCTTCTTGCGTCTACGATTCGTCCGTCGATCAGGCTGCACCGAATCTCGCGACGAATCCTTCTCTCGTGGTGACAAGGACACCACGTTTCCGAAAAGGTCGCCATCAGCAAAGGGTCTTGGAAGATCGCGAGGATTCTTGGAGGCTTCCTCGAGGACATCTTCCTTTGTTCTGGACACTGCTCGCGAAGAGGAGATCGCGTTATCGTGGTTGGCGCTGATTTCAGCCAAGTCTAAAGTCAAGTTCTGTTGGAAGGATTTGTCGAGAATCGCGGTAGTCGTTATTGACGATGGTTCATCGATCCAGGCTTGTCTAGCAAGATCAGTCGATTGATGATCCTTGGTCTCGTGAGTCTCATCCGGAAACGATATCCTCTCGGAAAATTTAGCTACTGTATCGGAGGAGATGTCCTCGTAGACGTGACTCTCGGGATGCGTCCTTGCAGCGACAGGATCATTTAGCTCGATCGTGTCATGAGGCTGCCGATAACGAGACTCGAATGTGGACTGCTCTTTTTCCACTCGCGATTGCTCCTCCTCGTAACCTTGGTTCTCCATCTGAAACTAAAGAAAGAAGGTGCGAAATTAGTGAGACATTTTTAATTTTTAATACTGTTATTTAATTAAACTTTAGGAAATCAATAATCGCGCGATAATTATTAACAATTTTGCGACGAGTTATTTTTAGAATTAGATCACATTTAAGGAAGTTGTAAGATAATACATACATCATGTACACTAAGAGAGGCGTCGTATTATTAATGTATTCGGAATCAAAAAAGAGCCAACACGATTAAAATAAAATTTCGAATTTTCGTTACAGCAAATTGCATGCATGAACCAAATTGTTTTTTATTCTATTTGCAAAAGTAAGACATGTTCAGCGAATATTTGTGGTTGATAATTTGTGGTTGATTAATGCTTCTTCTTAAGAAATTTGCGTATGAAAAGCAAACTATAATTGTTTCTAGCAAAAATATCCGCACGTGTACTTGAACAATTTGAAGCTATCACATTCATGAGAGAGGAAAAGAAAGAACGCGGAGAAAATAGAAGGGACCGAAGCTATATATGTATATATATGGGGGAAGATGAATCGAGCGTCTCTCGTTAAGGGAGGCATCCACACGATTGTCGCAATTATCGCGACTTGACTCTCCGATTGATCCCTGCCGGACTCATGACATCATTCACGAGCGCGCCCGTGGGATCACCCGTTTATTCTTAATTCGTCTCTGTGATGTTTACAGCAATACGCTTAGATTTCCGCAATTTTACACGTGCCACAGATGCTCCCCCGTTTCAGCAGGAAGAATAAATCAAATCCCCCTCGCTGTTCATCTCCGTTCAATAAAACTTTTATAACAGAATATCCTTGAAAATCGACTTTTTAAAATTATAATTATAATTAAAAAATTATAATTATAAAATTATAATTATAATTTTTTTATTACAATTATTTTGAAAGCAAATAAGCATGTCATATGTATATATGTAAATTATATTATATTCATTTAATTATATCATATAATTATATATTTTACATGATAAGGAATTTACTTAAATTTCCATTTTCGATAGTCATTTAATGCATGTTCGTATTTCGACGACCAGCCACCGTTCCCGAAGGATTCGCGTCCGAAGTCGATGCGATACAAAGAGCCTATTCACTAATAAATACAATTAGCGCGTCGCGCACAGTATCGAGATTATTTCCAGTTGCGTCAGCGCGATGCGTCTCTCGTCTCGCCGCACAGATTCCCGTTAGATTAATAATCCTGCCGACCGTCGTATTAGAAATCAATCCGATTAATCCGGCGCTGATTCACAAGCACGCATTCATGACGCATGGAAAAACGACGTCGCGAAATCGCGATTTTTATCATGCGCCGTGATTCCGCAAACGCACGCACCGCCATCGTCATCATCGTGCGCGATGAAAATTTTAATAAGCTAAAAGCTAAAGGATATACCGCGACATACATTATTCACGATCGTTGCGAATCGGCGGTTTACATAAGAACACGCGCTTGATTTCTTTCGATGAAAAACGAGCAGGATATCCTCGATTAGATCGCGACTTTCCTCTAACGATGGAATGTTGTGAATGAATGAGCTTGGTTTGCGAAAGAATATCGAGTCTGAGAGAGATTTCGCTTAAATAATATATTATTTATTGATATTAATCTTTAATTAGAAGAATATAATATCTTGAAATATATCGAAAATGGTATTTCTGAAGAACTTTTGATCAATAATGCAATTTATGACATGATTAAGATAATATTTTACATTTTTCCTTTTCTCTCCCGTTTTTAAAATTGATATTTTCTACGCTATAAAAAGAAATTGAATTTATAATATAATTTATTTTCTTCACATTAGAATATTGGTGTTGCTAAAAATCCAATGCAAACATTATATTAGTAATTAACAATAATTTTTTTTTGCATTTCTGTTCAAAGTATATATCTCCTTGCCATTTTATTTATTTTACGTACGTATACATGATAAATTATTTAATACGTAGCTTTACGTAGCTTCAAATTGACGTGAGATAAATGCATAGATCGCGCACAAATGCACCCATTGGGTAGACAAAGCATATGGACTAATTTTATAGTCTACGCGAGCAAGCTCGGTTACATATCACATATTTCTACCAGTCACATCAAAGCACATTCTTCAGCGTGCCAACATGGCTATTTTTAACATTTCGCAAGGCTATCTCATTGAAAAATATTACCTTACACTTCTCTCTCTTTCACATTTTTCTTTTAATTGTCTCCAATCTAATATTAATAGTACAACTCACAGAAATAATCAATTTTATTATTGGACACTTTTTTTTCTTATAAATGATTTCCGATCAATATAATAGTATTGAAAAGTCATGCATTAAAAAATATGCATTTGAAAATATTTTTGTTTCAATTATAAATAAATTTAATTAGCATATATGTATAATTATCAATCATATAAATTTAGATTTAGTTAGATTTAAAAAAGTTATAAATCATGATTTTATATAAATAATTACTAGAGAGAAAATCCATGCTGATAAATACATAAATAAAAATAGAAATGCAGATCTGTAAAGTATGTGTAAAGATAAATATATACTATATTTATATTCATATAATACAAATCTTTCTGCGATATTTAAAAAATGGCAAGATACATTGAATATGTGACACACGTTTGTCTTATTGCATTTATAGAATTACTGCGAGCCGCACGATGCGATCCTCTCGCAATTTTACTCAAGTGTACACAAGGAAAAGGCCGAGACGAAGGACGAGACTCCTCCTTTTCCACCTGCGTTTCCTGCGATAGACATTCAATGAGCTATCATTAAAGTCATTATGTGCGATTGCAGCTTGCCACGTATATTTTTCGTTTCTCCCGCCTGCTCAAGTTATAAATTTTTTTTCACGTAAGAAGGTACGCACATTGTATAAGTCATATTATTATGATCACGACTGGTAATCAGTATGTTAAATTAATATTTAACTACAATCGCGAAGAAAATATTTTTTTTAATTTCTTTAATTTGTATACTTATCTTCCCTCTTAATCATTTCCAGAGATTTATTTTCGACAAATTTGAATTATGAGAAATCACTACTTGTAACAAATTATTGATTATTACGATACAATCAAAGCTAGAATTAAAATTGTTAAATTAGCAAAAATTTTTTAAATTTTAAGTCGACAAAAACCAAGTTGAGATTTTTTTTTAAATTAATTTTGCTATATAATTAATTATCTATAAAAACGGGACAATTCTCGAATATCTTATATCGACGTTAAGAAATGTATGCTACTTTCATTGTATCACAACATATGTTTATGACGTGATGATGCTACTTAAGTTACATTGTGCGTCAACAAACGGATAATTACGGAATATCAAGAATAATTGCGGCTTTAAAGGCAATCCGCTTGCATTCGAATAAACACTGTGCGAATTTACGCATTCCATTGTCACTCGCAATGCACACGAAGAACGAACCGGAAACAGGGTCGCTCTTCTTTTCAGTCTCTTTTTTTGTCCGACTACTACTCCGGAAGGTTACTGGAGTAATTATGAAAAACGTGAGTGCCAATAATTAAAAGTCCCGACTAATTACTTTTCGTATTTGTTCGCAGAAAGAAAATTATACTTTTTCGTTTAAAGTTGAGGTATTCGTTTAAAGTTGAGGTATTCGAAAATAGGAAGAGGACAAAAAAAAAAATTCTGCTAGCAAGAATCAATTTGATTATATATTATATAGGATGTTTCTTAATAAGTGCGAACAATTTTAGGAAATGATTCTTTATCGAAAATTAGGAGTAAAAATTAGGTTTTTATTTTTTAAGTTTTTAGGTTTTTACTATAATTTTGTTTTTATTCCAATTTCTCCAACACTTACTATAATTTTATTTTTATTTTAAATTTTAACTTCTTATAATTCGAAACCTATGTTATTTAGCATCGTGCTGTATACGATAACGTATTTTATTTTTTTTTTCTTGAAAACTACTAATTTTATGAAAAAAATGAAAGAAATAAAAAAGTTTCTAAATAAATCAAACTTTTTAATGCATATTTTTAGATTTTAGATGATCATATTCCGGTCCATTAAAAAGTTTTAATAAAAAAATTGAATAGATATTGCTAGTTTCATCCCCTTATAACAATACGGCAAAGAATTATCTCCTAAAATTTTTCGCACTTATTAAGAAACACCTTGTATAATGTACTATATATTTGGAATAAAAACTTTTTTTCTCGCGAAAATACATCCCCCTTTTCGGTAACTGGTGTAATATTGGACATATTTGTTAGATTTGTGATCTGAGAAAAGTTTAAAATAAAATATCATCATGTTAACGATGATGAACAATCGGGTACATTGTTCAACAAGATGTGCATTGATAATGAATGCTAAAGCATGTTGTGTATTCAAGTGGATCGATTTATGAAAACCTGTTTTGAAGCAATAAAAAAGATGTACGTTATAAATTTACAGACAATATTGTCGGCAATATTATCAATAAAGGGGTAGCCTTTCGGCGGCGGTATCATGGAAGGCTATAGGCGCCGATCGGTCGCTCGACTACTAATGGTTAATTACTTCTCATATACGCTTGTAAGGATGCCATCTCTTTTTACGTCAAGTGGTGTCCAATTTATCGCGCGGAACGAGTTAAACGACCGGCGAAGAAATGCCTGCGCCCGATGAAGAAGCCCGTTTTTCCGAAGTCGACCGTTTTTTTCTCGGATCAACGATCACAGACGACCGTTCGTGGTGTCGGTTTCCATTTCCGTAGGTGGTTGAACCGACGATCTCGTGAAGACAAAAATCAAGAATCAATTATCGATACTTGAGAAAATAATATTCGTCCTTTACATATGTATCATACTTCTAGCTTTGTGTTATAAAATACTCCATTTTTATATACAAAATAAAATACTTGGACAAACACGCAGACCAATTTGCAGTTAATTTTGAAGGTGTAAAGTCTTAGAAAAATTATTTAAAATATTTATCGAAAGATTATTTTCCTATAAAAAATTA